TCATTTCAGACATTGTAATTTATACATGTGACAAACTATTGGGATTTGATAATAATTTATTTACATGAGGAATTTACATATATATTGTTGACAGATAGATAAGTTTGGCTCTTCCTATAACAGAACAAAGGCCACTGTATATGTGTATAGGCAATCTATTTGTGCCTCTCTAACACAAAGCTATGGAGAGAACCATGATTCTTCAAGCTTCTAGACTAGCCAGGCACACAGCAACGCCTTTCCATTCTTGTACATTTCTATGTTCCTAACACATGTGTATATTATTGTAATCATCTTTGCATTTGACAACAATAACTTGCATTTATATAGCGCCCTTCATGCATGGTAGCATGACGAAGAAACGTACCCATCTAGAATGGGGAAAATTCAACACTATCACATTAATTTCACCTTCAAATCCCTCCATGGTCTTGCTCCCACCTACCTCTACGACGTCCTAACCCCCTACCATCCTGCTTGCTCCTTCCGCTCAGCGGGCTCTGGCCTGCTTCACGTCGCCCACCTCACTCTCCCCACTATTAGCCTTCTGCCACTCTGCCCCCATCCTCTGGAACTCCATCCCGCAGTCCCTCCGCCTCGCCCCCTCCCTTGCCTTTCAGCGTTTGGGATGTCCTCCCGACGTGAAAGGCGCTCTAAAAAATTTAATTTTTTTTGTTGTTGTTGCCTCCTTTAAGATTCATCTCAAGAGCCTCCTCTTTGACCGTGTTATTGATGCCCTGCTTCCCCCCCTGTGATTTGAAAGGCACTGTACAAATGAAATTTTTTGGTTGTTGTTGAGCTCCACCCTGCCCAATCCTGACCCCCAGCGCGGGTCCAAAACACTGACTGTCCAGCATCTTGGGATGTCCTTCCTACGTGAAAGACACTATGAATAGTGTGCTTCCGATTGCAACACTCAACTCCCATGGCTTTAAAAGAAAAAAAACCCCGGGGAGCTTAGACTTCACTGACAACCAGAGAAATCAAAAAAACGTAACAAGCGAAGGAACCACAAGCAAACATTTGAAGCTACACCTGCTGACAGTAACACAATGTTGCAACGGCTCCACCTGACAACCTAAATAATTTAATTAGGTGCTAATGAGGCCCTTTACTAATTAAAGGGAGTGATTGGAAAATCGATAAAAGATCCACTTGCTGCATTTAATAAAATACACCAGTCAGATAAGCTGGTGGCAAGGAGCTGCCATCCCTGCTGTGGATTCAAGTTCTGGGATGCTTGTGGCTACCATCGTGTAACCACAGGGTTTCGGGGAAGGTCTGTTTGTGGGACCTTGAATTGCACAAAAAAAATCGGCTGCTGCTTTCATATATATATATACATATATATATATATACACACACACACATGGGGTAAGAAACTCCCTTCTCTTTTCAAACACTGCCATAAGTTTGGCACTCCCAAGATAATACTGGGCAATGCTGCTTTGTTGGAAGTGTCGTTCCTCAGGTGAGACATTAAACCATGGTTCTGTTTGCCAAGTTCATTTAAATGCAAGTTGGATTGATTTCTTTCAGAAAATAATCTTTTGGAATACAGTACATGAGTAATTTGAGACATAACATATAGTAAGTGTAGCCTTGGATGAACCAGGCAACTTTGTGGCTAAGGTTCCCAAAGCTTTCCACTCCGTTGTAGACTTAATTGTTGTAGACTTAGTTGTAGACTGCACTCCATGCAGAATCAATTGCTATCAACATCTCCATTATCGTAGCATGTGACTAATAGAATGGTAGAAGGTGAACTCAACAGACCTTGGTCTTTTTTCGTCTCGCAATTCTTTTGTTCCTATGCCTGCTCAAGACAATGTTAAACTAAAACAAATAAAATTGGTTATTTGTGGTTGTTTGTGGGACATTGCTGTGTGCAAATTGTCTGCCTACAAATTACAGTGACTAAATTATAGTGTATATGTATCCTGTGAAGCACTTTGAAATGACATGAAAGGCACTATATCAAACACAAGGATTGTTATTATTATTTTTAATGATGATAAATAATAATTGGCACCTCCAAAAATACAGTGTTTCCCAGGACTGCATTGGAGTGCTAGTCTAGATTATTTGAACTCATAAAATCCACAACCTTCTGACTCTGAAATGAGAGTACGACCAACTCAGCCAGGCTGACACCTAAATCTATCTACATCTTAAAGAAATATTGGATCCGTTGAGATAACAAAATATTTGAACATTGTAAAGCTTCAGGCACAGTGGAGCAAATGCCCAGTTATTTTAAACTGTGGATTTAAAGCAAAAGTATAAATATTAACAGTAACTTGTAATTATGGCAAGAGGGGTTGTGGAGTTAATTACATTCCATTGGCAGTGACAGGATTAGAATTATTAATTGACATTAACTCTTTCTAATTATACCAGAAACATAAAACTGCAAGCAACATGATAGACGATTGAACTCCTGGGGAATCAGGATACAGCTGCCAAGGAGCACACCTTTGCATTAGCAGGGAGGGATGCCTAACAGGCACTAGGACCAAAGGTTGACTAAGACCTCAGTAGCTGATATAGTTACTGCAATAGGTGATAAAAACAGCAGCACTTTGGGTGCTTTACTTTAGCACTGAGCTCTCCGTGCATCACTTTCTTCCAATAAAGGCAACATTACTGTAAAACAGTAACAACATGTCAAGTCCATAATGGTCATGGAACTAAGCCATGCAATGCCTCCTCTGGGATTTATTGGATGCTGTAATCATACAGGCATTTCCCACTGATCGCTTCCAAAGTTATTAACATTGCTCATTCCATCCCCTTGCTAGCAGATGGTGGTGGGGTAAGCTAATCAGAATGCTTAGAGATACAGAGGGACTACTTTCATACTTCATACAAGAATCATTTTATGGGCGGGTCTTGGTGGGGATGGGAAGACGACAACAAATTACATTTGTATAGCGCCTTTCACATCAGGAGGATGTCCTAAAATGCTGGACAGTCAAGGATGTGCACTTGAGATGGGGGTTGGAATCAGGAGGGGTGGAGGGCAAGGAGGGATAGGTTAGGAGGGTGACCAAAGGAGTGGTCGAAGAGGAAGGTCTTGAAACAGGCCTTGAAGGAGGCAAGGGAGAACAGATGAAAAAGCTCCACGTGTTTGCTCTTGTCCCTTTTTCGGAGTTTATTAACATCATTTAAACAGAAGTGAGATTTATGAAGCTCAGTAATTATTATTTACCACTCGTTCCAGTCTACAAGCAAGTCTCTAATAACCTCATCATTGACTCTGTCAGCTGGGGTATTGACAGTTTATTCTTATCGGCCAGGCAGACAGTTAACAAACAAGAAAATATTGACAAAAAGATTTGTGCTTGGCTTACGTGCTTCTGCCTGTGAGTCATACCTTCGCAGTAAACTACTTTGACAAATGTTTTCTATCAACATTCAATGAAATAGTGATAAGTAATGATAAGTGATAAATCTGTAACCCAAGGTTGAAGCCTGATGCTGAATGACTGCTTCTGTTAAACTTTATGGACTATGATCATTTTAAGTCACTTGATTATCTTTAAAGTGGACAAATCATGTGTTTGTAGGTTTATCAAAAAGAACATCGCCATTCTCAACAATGCTAAACCACTCCTTAGTAAATATATGTAACTGGCTCCTTCGAGAGAAAATGTCAATTATTTCAAAAGCAAATTGGATAATAATAATAATAATAATCCTTGCATTTGATGTAGTACCTTATCACTCCTCAAAGCACTTCACAGAATATATTGTAAAGTGAACTGACTATTTTGTGGGCGAAACACAGCAGCCAATTGCACACAGCAGTGTCCCAACAAACAGTCTTGGATTGAGTGACCAAATATTTTTTTGGAGGGGAGTATTACTCTTGGGGAAAAAAATATTTCTTTTAGGAAATAATATCTCTGGATAAAGTTTGGGACATCAAACGTGCAATGCAAAATTGCCAGAATGGTGGAAGGCGAAACTGGATGGAACTCGGGTCTTTCCTCGAGCAAATTCTTATGTGCTTATGTTCCTGGCGTTTTGGATCCTCATCAGCAAAGCAAAGCATAAACACCAGTGCTCAACTGTGTATAACTGTTGGGAGTTCAATAGCAAATGAATTCCAAGCTATTTGCAAATGGCACAACGTAGCCGACGCATAATATTTTCCGATTAATACAGCTACGACTTCCCATGTTGAATGAATAACCTTTTTAACCCGACCAACCACTTACCCCCTCCCCTCTGCACAACTCCAGTCCGAAAAGTTTCCACGACTTTTCTCAAAACAAGTTAATCATTGATCTTTCTGTACATATCTCCTGAACCCCCAAATACAACCCCAAACGCTCTGGTTTTCAGGTCTGTGCAAATAAGTCCCGTGTGTGTGTGTGTGTGTGTGTGTACAAATAGGCCCCTTGAACTGCAGAAAGATATATTTAAAAAATAACATTAATTCTTCTTATGGGGATAGACTGTGGACTTGCACTCTGGGTTATGTCGATGTGTTTGCATTGAGCCCCAAATTGAGACGTGAACACATTTTTTTTTAGTATATATAGACACACACATACACATCATTTTTTATAAGCACTATTGATGTTGCAGATAAACCGATTTTAACAGTGAATTGACTGACAAAACAATGAGATTCCCGAAAAGCAAAGCCAACTCACACTTTTTCCACTCACTGGCTGTTGGGTTAAGAGCACTCACTCACTCTCTCTCTCTCTCTCTCTCTCTCACACACACACACACACACACACACACACAGTCTCATTAACTTTAAGTCCCACTGCGATCCATCGCTAACTCTCCAACCAGTAAAGTTACAGACTCGCTCAAGGCTATGAGTTGGGACCATCGATGGCACTTCACCGCAGCCTCAGAGACCGAAGAGCAAAGAGCTCCCGGATCGTCCGAAGCGAAAGATATTGTATACCCGTACCTGCCCACATTTACCAGCATCTTTCTAAGGGTCTGCAGTATTTACCATCGAATGCAATCCTTACCTCTGATATAAGTGCATCTATTCTCGTCCAGACTTGATACCGAGCCGCCCATATCGTTTCAGCGAAGCGAGTCCCCGTAGGATCGCTTTGCTGTGAACTTCTTCAGAGCCGATTAACTCCCCGCGACTGCCCAGAGAGCTCAGTGCAGGACCGCGTACAGTCAGTTGTGTGTGTGTGTGTGTGTGTGTGTCTCTCTCTCTCTCTCTCTCTCTCCCTCTGTGCGTTTCTCTCACTCTATTATAATCAACTTCCTCAAACCAGTCACCGCCTCCCCTCCGCCCCCTTTCTTTCCACCCGAAGCCTTGTCGGATGTCACCAGACTGGGTTTATTCGGCCAGAAGGAACGACTATTCTATTGCTAACCACCAGGACTGACTAACCATCATTGTTTTCAACTGATACTGAGTAATGCTAAGTAACTTCAGAACCAGATTATAGCTGATGAGCGACTATGTACCGCAGGCAAGGAAGGCTTTACTCATTCTGGGTGACAGTCTGACTCAGTGGAAGCACTCCTGCTTTTCAGTCAGAATCTTGTTGGAATCACACCGACACTCCAATGCGGTGCCGGAGGAGGGAGTTGAGAGGCTTTGCGTTGTCGAAGATGTCATTCTTCGGATGAGACGTTAAAAAAATGAGGTCCCGTTTGCCTGTCGAGGTGGACGCTCGAGATCCCACAGCGCTGTTCAAAAAGACAAGGGAGTTTCTCCCGGTGTCCTGGCCGACAATCCCCCAAATAAAATTGCTCGCTCACTCCGAGATTAAATTTGGTTGTGGGACATTGCGCTGTGCGCAAACTGGATGCTGCTGCGTTTTGCCCACAAAATACACACTCAATCCACTTTACAGTATAGCCTGTGAAGTGTTTTGTGACATCTCAATGACGTATTAAGGCACTATAACAAATGCAAGGATTATTATTATTTTATATATATAAGGCGCCAAGGTTCTTGTAGATACAATTAGCCACATATTCATGCAAACCTTTCTGTATAATAGAGAAACATATAAAATAAGTGCAGTGTTTCCAGATCCAGTTCACATGCTATACTGCGAGTCCTGGTATATCCAGTCCTGGTCGTCACAAGTCTAGATACAAGAACCTTTGCACAGAGTGGCATGCCATTACTTGGGTTGCCCTCATTTGGAAATACTGTAATATATAATAATAATAATAATCCTTGCATTTGATATAGCGCTTTTCACGTCGGGAGGACGTCCCAAAGCGCTTCACAGAACACACTGTAAAGTGAATTGACTGTATATTTGTGGGCGAACGCGGCAGCCAATTGCGCACAGCAATGTCCCACAAACAGTCGTAGATTGAAAATGACCAATTTAATTATTGTTTTTAGTTTTGGAGGGATTATTATTAGGCGTGTGGAGTAAGGAAACTTGCCCAAGGTTTCGCCCTGCCTGGAATTGAACTCAGGTCTCTCGCTTGCAAAGCAAGTGCTCTAACCACTGAGCTACAGGACTCCACTGTATTTGTCTAAATGGTGTGAATGCATTACTTATGCATTCATTTGATTTTGTACTTCAAATGTTAAAACCACCTTTCCAATTGCAGTTATGCCTCTTGGTTCACTTCCATCAAAGCTCTGTCTTAATTGTAAAATATATTAGGGATCCATGCGTTAATAATAACAATGAATAGTCCTTGACCCTTATCATATTGTCGAGCTGTCTCAAGGCGCTTTATAAGATTTTACTGTGCATTTTGTAGGCAAACACAGCAGCCGATTTGCACACAGCAATGTCCCACAAACAGTCATGAGTCAATGATCAAATTTATCCGGGGATTGTTTCGAATAGTGCCACAGGATCTTAAATAACCACCTGGGTCTAGTTTAATGTTTCATCTGAAGGACAACACCTCCAACAATGCAGTGCTCCCCCAATAGTGTACTGCAGTGTCAGCCAAGATTGTACACTCAGAGTCTCAATTTAGGGCTTGAACCCACAACTTTCTGACTCAAGAGGCAAGAGTGCTACCAGCTGAGCCAGGCTGATAATCTTTACTGCAATAGACTAACATTCAACCTAATTTTCCATCAGCCATGTAGTCAATAGTACAAGAACATCCATTAACTTGGTGAATATTATTCTCATTAGTATGACTGATCAGGTGAAGGCACATGGGGAAATCATGCAAGAACTGTTAGCAACATCTGACCCCTGTTTTAGCCCTCTTGTACTGGCAGAGTTCTGCATTGTTGAAGGTGTCACCCTTCATATAGGATGTTAAGCTGAGACCTGTTTATATGGATCTTAAGGAATCCATGGCACTCTTTGTAAAGGGAAGGAGTTAGTTGCTGTGTCCTGGCCAACAATCGACCTCCTGGCTGTTTGTGGGACATTTACCAATGATAATAATATTACATGCATTTGATAATAATCAATAATAATCCTTGTATTTTGATATAGTGCTTTTCACATCTTCTAGACGTCTCAAAGCGCTTCACAGAATATACTGTAAAGTGAATTGACTGTATATTTGTAGGCAAAATGCGTCAGCCAATTGCGCACAGCAGTGTCCCATAAACAATGGTGGATTGAAGTGACCAATTGTATTATGGGGTTTTTTTCTTGAGGGATTATTATTAGGCTCTGTGTGGAGTAAGAAAACTTGCCCAAGGTTTCGCCCTGCCTGGAATTGAACTCAGGTCTCTCGCTTGTGAGGCAAGTGCTCTAACCAGAGTTCAGTGGTTTGAGCACTTGCCTCATAAGTGATATAGTGTACGATATATACAGTGTAGCGATATATACTTGATGTAGTGTCTCACCAAATCAAAACATTTTATTCTGCAAGAGTGTAACAACTATTAAGCCTTTGACCATGTTTTGATGTTCAAGACACTATACCAAAGCAAGGAATATTATTATTATTCATGTATTTTGGGAAACATGGGTGAATTTTCCATATGTGGCACCTGTGGTGTATTAAAACATACAACAATGTTGATACTATAAATACAATGTGTTATAGCCAACAATTTTGTCTTTCAATTACTGTATATACAGAGATGTAATCCTTAATCCTCAGCCTTGGCACGTGATAAATATCTTCACCGATCAGATAACGTGACAGAAAGAACTCATGAGTGAGTTACGGTTTGCCAAATCTCACAAGGTTGCACAAGCATGGGTTCTATTTATAGCATGGGAGCAACTGTTGGACTCGGAAAAATATGTTTTTAATGAAGATTTCTGTCACTCGAGAAATTCGGGCCAAAGCGCCTTATGTTTGGTGTGGTGGTGAGTCGCAAGCCAAAATGACAACTTTAATTTTACAGATATGTTCCCACTATCAAATCACTGTCAGCAGCTGTTTGTGACTTGGTACACAATCAGAATCACTTAAAGCGCTTTTATATCGCCTTCCCTACAATTGTGGAGTCCTGTAGCTCAGTGGTTAGAGCACTCGCTTTGCAAGTGAGAGACCTGAGTTCAATTCCAGGCACAGGGCGAAACCTTGGGCAAGTTTCCTTACTCCACACAGAGCCTAATAATAATCCCTCCAAAACCAAAAACAATAATTAAATTGGTCATTTTTCAATCTACGACTGTTTGTGGGACATTGCTGTGCGCAATTGGCTGCCGCGTTCGCCCACAAATATACAGTCAATTCACTTTACAGTGTGTTCTGTGAAGCGCTTTGGGACTTCCTCCCGACGTGAAAAGCGCTATATCAAATGCAAGGATTATTATTATTATTATTATTAATTGTTTCCCTTCTTATCTTCACTCCTAAATGAGGTGAATTATGCCAAGGTATGAATGCTAGGCTCACACCTGGCTGAAATGACCATTCTTCATATGTAGCAGCGTTCGTTCCCTTTTCGTTTGGAGGGACCCCAACCTTACCACCCAACAGGCAGAATTTCACCATTTTGTGCCGAATTCCAGCACTTTGTGTTTGGCTTTGTGCCCAGAGGTGAGATAGGTTCAAACTCTGCAGAATTAGCTGCTGTCAAGTGCAGTGACAAGGGGTACAAGTTCATCTGAACATGCAGGAGAGGCCTGGTTTAATGTCTCATCTGAAGGATGGCACATACAGCAATGTAGCACTTTCCCAGCACTGCATTAGAGTGTCAGACTTTATGACTTCAAAATCCCAACATAGGGTTTGAACCCACAAATGTCTGACTCGGAGACAAGAGTACTATCAGCTGCAACAGGCTAACACCACATTCCACACAGTTCTCTATTTTTTTTAAATATAGGCAAGAGATTTACCTTTATTGTCTTGAGGGGTTGAACTCCAATTGTGTTACATGCTCTGGAGAGGGTGTCTGTGTGAGTGCTGACCAGCGACGACAACAACAACAACTTGCATTTATATAGCGCCCTTCATGTGGGGTAGCATCCCAGAGCACTCCAGGCCTTGGAGGTCTTGGAGAGAAACTACTGATGGTGGAAAGCACACTCCCATTTGGTCAGAAGATTTACCAGAAAGTTAAACATGCTTATCTAGGCTCTGGAACTCTATCCCCCAGTGCCTTCGCCTTGCTTCCTCCCTTTCCTCCTTCAAGGCCGGTCTCAAAACCTTTCTCTTTGACTGAGCCTTCAGCTCCCCTCTCGACTCTCTTCCCCCTCCTTGCTCCCTCCCTTCCCTCCCCTCACCCTGACCATTTCCCCCTCCTCGCTCCCTCCCTTCCCTCCCCTCACCCTGACCATTTCCCCCCTCCTCGCTCCCTCCCTTCCCTCCCCTCACCCTGACCATTTCCCCCCTGCTCGGGTCATGACCCAACTGTGCAGCGCCTTGGGACGTCCTCCTGACGTGAAAGGCGCTTTATAAATGGAATCTTGTTGTTGTTGTTGTTGTTGTTCAATAGTTGTCTTAGGTCTTTTTCTTTAATATAACCAATAGGTTAGTGAAAGTATTTCTTTCTGTGAAACAAATTTCTCCTGGCCAATTTCTAGGGTGGGTCCCTTAACATAATACATAATACTACTGTAATAATAATCCTTGCATTTGATAATAATAATAATAATAATAATAATAATAATAATAATAATAATAATCCTTGCATTTTGTAGTGCTTTATCAAGTCAAAATGTCTTGAAGGGCTTCACAGATTTTTTTTCTGTAAGGTGTAGTGACTGTGGATTTGTTGGCAAACGTGGCAGCCCATTTGGGCACAGTACCTCTAAGTAAAGCACTAAGCAGTACTCCCAGTTTTGGCTGAAGTTTCAAACGCCAGTCTACCTTTTGACAAACACACATACACACTAATGTACTTAACACTACCAAAGTGATCTGATCACACGCTGCACCTGTGACCCGCTGTATTGTTCCCACAGTTAGAGGTCAAACACCAATAATAATAATATTTGACATAGTGCCTTTCATGATGAGAGGATGTCCCAAAGCCCCTCACAGGATTTACAAATAAAGTAACTGTATTTTGTCGGCGAACATGGCGGCCAAATTGTAAACTGCAACGTCTCACAAACAGCCATGAAGTGAATAACCAAGTTTTATTTGGGGGATTGATTGGGAGAAACTCCCTTCTCTTTTCGAATAGTGCCACGCGATCTTTAATATCTACCTGAACAGGGTGAAGGGACCTCAGTTTAACATCTCATCCGAAAGATGTTTTTAATATGGGGTTGGGATAGGGAGGGATGTTGAACAAGAGGACCAAATAATGGACTTCAATTCTTTTGCCCCTAAATGACTAATCCTGGACCTCATTGCTTTATTTGTCCCGTGTTGAAACATCCATCGGTTTGGAACCACAGAGGATACCGGTTAACCAAACCAGTGTTAACATAAGTGAGCCAAATCAACCGACACACAGCAAGTCCGGCCTCAGTGTTTGAGCCAACCGTGTTGCACGTACGTTTCAACCCACTCCAAACAGAATCTATTCTTAAACTGCACCCGGGAATAGGTTTAAGAGGTGGAAGGATGCAAGCTTCTTATTATTCGATGGGAAGGAAATCGCTTTGTGAACCAGAATGAACAACAGGTGCGGTATGAATACAGTGTGTATGGGGGGAGGAGAGCAGGAGTGTGTGTGTGTGTGTGTCTATGTGTGTAAAATGTTGAACTGATACAAGCATTGTAATGCTATCAAAATGCTGGACCAGATTGTGGATTCATTGCATCCCTGTACAAACAGGGCGTGGAGCAACCTGTATTTAAAGCAAACCCAGAATGCCGATGCAGCATTGTGTGAGCAAAGCCAAACCCAACCACCACAAAATAATAATAATAATAATAATAATAATTAAAAAAAGGCTTTTTAGACATTTCTGTGAGGCTGACACGAACAATGCATTGCCACAAAGCACCTTCATTGACGTAGGAGCACCGTTCTAGTTGTAAATAAGAAACAATTAAAGCTATTCGGTCCTGTGGATTTTTTTTGGGGGGGTTATATATATTTTTTAAAAAAAAGATGCTATTTAAATCTGATAGATCGACCTGCAGATTTCGATTCAGGTTTTCCTCCTTTGCAGAATTGTGCCAAAAGCGAAATCGGTTGAATCGTTGACATCCTAAAGCATATATATACCTTTCAGATCAATCGGTTGACAGAAAACTCCCACACGTTCACAATTTTGCATCTATATTTTTTTAATATTTTTTTTGCAAAAAAAGAAGAGGTCGCAACTTTGCAATTTAACTCAGAGGGAAGGAAAGGCTCTTTGTTATATTGCACGAATAGAAAAATGAGCGAAAACCGGTCTCGTGTTTGCACAAGATGTTTTTTTGGGGGAAAAGATGGATTTTTGTGTGTGTGTGTGTATATGTGTGTGGTGGTGGTGTGTGTGTGTGTGTGTGTGTGTGCAGTGGTGGGGGTGGGGGGTGGGGGGGAGATTGAGGTGGAGGGGAAGGAACCCTATAAACCCCTTTGCAAAGTCAAAATATTCCTTTTATATACATTATTTTATTTTTAAAGCAAAAAAAAATCGATCCAATGCAGAGAAAGGAATTGCAGAGGAGGAGAAAGAAAGAGAGAGAGAGAAGGGGGGGGGTGTGAGAGAGAGAGAGAGAGAGGGGGAGAATGTGTGTGGAAGAAAGGAAGAAAGAAAGAAAGAAAGAAAGGAAGGAAGGAAGGAAGGAAGGGGGAGAGAGAGAAAAAGAGAGAGAGAGAGAGAGAGAGAGAAGTGGACAGTTTTATTCTAAATGCACATTTGCTTTCCCAATGTCCATTGCGGAGACTCGCCATATTGAGCGATGTCTCCAGTGATCTGAGTGTGAGTGTGTGTGGATCTTAAGTGAGGGCTGTGTGTGGGGGGTGTGTGGGGGGGAGGGGGGGGTGGGGGGGGGAGTGGGGGTTATTGCACCGGTGCAGAGCTGCTCTGAGCGGTGAGTGAGCCTCGGGCTCCGGCAGCAGCCACAGCGGTGCGGGATGCGAGGCTCTATGCGACGGCTACGGTACAGCGATCGCTGTATCAGAGGGTAGAGACACACTCACACACACACTCACACACACACAGAGACACACTCACACACACACGCACAGAGACACACTCACACACACACTCACACAGAGACACACACACAGACACACTCACACAGACACACACACACAGAGACACTCACACACACTCACACAGACACACTCACACAGAGACACACACACACACACACACACTCACACAGAGACACACACACACACTCACACACAGAGACACACTCACACACACTCACACAGAGACACACTCACACACACTCGCACAGAGACACACTCACACACACTCGCACAGAGACACACTCACACAGAGACACACTCACACACACACTCACACAGAGACACACACACACAGAGACACACACTCACACACAGAGACACACAGACACACTCACACACTCACACAGAGACACACTCACACAGAGACACACTCACACACACAGAGACACTCACACACAGAGACACTCACACACACAGACACACACACACACAGAGACACACTCACACACACACAGAGACACACACACACACTCACTCACATACACTCACACACAGAGACACACACACACTCACACACAGAGACACACTCACACACAGAGACACACACACACACACACACAAAGACACACTCACACACTCACACAGACAAACACACACACACACAGACACACAGAGACACACACACACTCACACACAGAGAGACACTCACACACAGAGAGACACTCACACACACTCACAGACACTCACACACACACACACAGACACACAGAGACACACTCACACACACACACACAGAGACACACACACACACACTCACACACACAGAGACACTCACACACACACTCACACACAGAGAGACACTCACACACACAGACACACACAGAGTCACACTCACACACACAGAGTGAGACACACACACACACACACAGAGGGAGAGAAACACACACAGAGGGAGAGAGACACACACACAGACAGAGGGAGAGACACACACACAGACACACATACAGACACAGACTCAGATAGACAGAGAAAGGGAGAGAAACACACACACAGACACACACACACATACACACACAGAGACACACATACACAGACTCAGATCGACAGAGAGAGAGCCACAAACAGAGAGACTCAGATAGATAGACAGAGAGAGAGAGAGAGAGAAAGAGAGAGAGAGAAAGAGAAAGAGAGAGAGAGAGCAGCACATTTGGGGGTTGTTTTCTGCCAGGCTGCAACCCACCCCCCACCACCTCCTCCTCCTCTCTCCCCCACACAGCGATCACTATCAGACAGAGAGACAGTGTGAGTGAGTGAGTGTGTGACTGATCAGCAACAGTAACCTGACATGTGTCCATTTCTCTTGTAGAGAGAAAGGGAAAGAGAAAGGGGGAGGAAGAGAGAAAAAAATGCTGTGCTGAGCAAGAGACTCCCCACCTTCCCCCCAAAAAAAAACACACACCGAATTATTTGCAAATAGCTCAGCTATTTTGAGACCCACAGAATCAATGGGTAAGTAAAACCGTAATGCGATTGCATGTGTGCATGTGTTTGACTGTAACCACTTGTGTAACGTAACTGTGTGTGTATTTGTGTGTGTGTGAGTGTGTTGTGTGTTGTTGCACCTCTCTCCCAGTTGCTACAGTTATTAATGGACTCCTGCAAAGTGCATTTCAATGCAAATCGCTGCTTAAATTCTACCCCCCCCCTCCCCTCCCCTCCTCCCCCCCCCCCCATCCGTTTATTATTTTTGAGTTTTCTTCTTTTTTAAAAAAAGAGACCAGAAAGAAAACCATTTGTAAATACAATGGCGGATGTGTGTATTTGTGTGCAATGGGCACTGCTGTTCGCTCTTCTGACTCTCTGACCTGTTCATTGTTACTGTAATGAGTTGCCTGAACTTGTACATTTTTTTTGTGTGTGGAGAGTGATGTGGGGGGTGGGGGGGGGGGGGGGGGGAGGGGGGAGTGGGGGGTGAAGCTCACAGATGGTGCTGAACCCTCCTTCACTAGAGGACAGGATTGGATGCTGTTCACACTGTCAGTCTCCACTGAATGGCTATGGCCTCTGTCAGTATTGGGAAGAGCTTCAACGCTATCCCATTGTGGAGAGGCCACTTTCTGCACACATCTTATTTATTGCCTTCTTTTTCTCCTACTGTGTCTCTTGCTTGATGTTCCAGCAATCCCCCCCCACCTCCGCCTCCTCCTCCACCACCTCCACTCCCTCTTCCCCAACTTTCCCGTTCAAACCATATTTCTGGAGTCCTGTAGCATATTAGTTACAGCGCTTGCCTCACAAGTCAGTCGATTCCCGGGCAGGGAGAAACCTTAGGCAAGTTTCCTTACTCTACACGCCGCCTCTTTTTACCTACATTAAGTAGGAACCTGGTTGTAGTCGATTGGCGGATCGCTTTCTGGGGGTAATAATCCTTCCCAGAAAATAATAATTTGGTCACTCAATCCACGATTGTTCGTGGGATACTCCTGTGCCCAATTGACTGCCACATTTCACCTACACAAATACACAATCAATCCATTTTACAGTATATTCTGTGAAATGCTCTGAGATGCTTGAACGATGTGATAAGGCGCTGTATCAAATGCAAGGATTATTATTATTATATAGTCCCTTCAGCCATGAATAGGTCACAACTTCCTCACTGAGTTCTCTCAGATCATAACAGTGTAAATTCAATCTAATTTGTGGTTTCCATGAGGTTGTCTCTACCCTAGTATCTGAGACAGAAGAATCCGTAAGGAGTGAGTGTTGCTAACAGGCATGAGTCAGCCTCCCTTGGGACTGAAGGATTGTAAAGTCTTCACCCCTTTACATGAGGGAGTCAGTTCATTTTACAGTTCATTGATTGATTCAGCCCTCCATGTTCATTGTGTACTACACACCTCCCCCCAAGCCGTTTCTGCGCTTAATGCTGTCAGAGTGGGTTCAAGCCCCACATTGGGACTTGGAGTCACATAGTCCAAGCCATCACTCCAATGCATTGCTGGAGCTGTGTTGTATTGTCGGAGGTGCTGTCCTTTGAATGAGACGTTAAACCGAGGTCCCGTCTTCCTGTTCAGGTGGACGTTAAAGATCCTATGGCACTATTCAAAAAGGGAAGGGAGTTTCTCTCACCCGGATCCTGGCCAACAATCCCCTGAATAAATTGATTGGTCACTCCATGGCTGTTTGTGGGACAATGCTGTGTGCAATTGGTTGCCGCGTTTCACCCACAAAATGCAGTCAATCCACTTTATAATTTATCTTGTGATGGGCTTTGAGACATCTCAATGACATGATGAGGCACTATATCAAATGCAAGGATTATTATTATTATTCTTGCCCAGTGCACGAGCTGTAGTTCTGATATGAACTGTCGTTCACCCACTACATACACAGTCACGTCACTTTACAGTACATCCCGACATGAAAGGTGTTAAACCAAATGTAAGGATTATTATTATTATGAAACAAATTGGCTTCGCCACTGCTGCTTGAAGTGGGTTCACTTTGAAGCAGATTTGAAGTGCTTGAGAAGACTCGACAGAATAAACCTTTGCACAGTTGGTAGCTTTCACGTCTGGTCCAGAAGACTGTGGCTTCAAGTCCCAAATCAGGATGTGAACTCACAGGACCCTGACAGTCCAGTGCAGAGCAGTACAGTTCTGGAGGAGCACTGCATTGTCTTTCGGATGCGATGTCACACCAGAATCCCATCTGCTGTTCAGGTGGATGTTGAAGATCCAATGGCCCAGTTAGAAAAGAGACTGGAGTATCTGACAATGTCCTGGCCATCAATCCTCCAGATTAATTGGTTGTTTACTTCGTTGGTTGTGGGACCTTGCTGATGCAAATGGCTACTGATTTATTTACAAAAATGGTCGCTGCACTTGACAGTAATTCTCTGTTACACGCTTTGCGACGTTTCCGTGTTGTAGGTACAGAATAATGCAAGCTCCCCTCTAAAGAGAAGCAGCTCAATAGCAAGGGCAAAGGAGGTTGTGCTGTTTTGACTGTCTTGAGATGGAGTGATCTGTTCTCCTTGTTATGGGGGTGACACAGGGAAGAAAGAAAAACATTGCCACACTTTGAACAAACTGCGGGGAAATTTCCCAAATCACATCATTATTGAGGTTCTATTGATCATTGTGGGGAAGTAGTGTTATACTGTCTGGACCGTGCACACCAGAGTGCTGGGATGAAAGTCTTCTCTCTCCCTCCTCCCCTTTGGTCTCTCTGCAGCAAGAGAGCAATAAGCAGCAATAAGAGAGATTCGGGACATTTCAATCATATTCCTAGTTATTGCATGTCCCTAGTATGAAACTGTTTTATTTAGTGTTTAGTGGTGTCGTTGGCAGCCTTACTCAATTGTCAAAGGATAAATATTGTGGGAAATAGTAATACCCTGTTGATGTAGTGAAGTTGTTCTTTAGAGTCTGAGGTTTAAGGCAAGGTTTATGGGGGAGCTTTGCTCTGATAGAGGCTGGTGTAAAGTAAGGTTTAGCAGTGGGGAGGCATTTCAGGAAGATTTGCTCTATCTAAGTTGTATTGTGTTTGATGCCGGCAAATATTTCCTCGTGAAGCGATGTATTGGTTTAAGGGACAAATTTTAGTGCAGAGTGGGCAAGACACATCAGTGTTAGGAAATTGAATATTTGCTCGCTTCACAAGGAAATATTCAATTTCCTAACACTGATGTGTCTTGCCCACTCTGCATTAAAACTTGTCCCTTAAACCAATACATTAGTCCCGTTGACTCCTTTCATGAGATGGTGACGCAAACAAATAAGAAGTTTTGCTGGTTGAGTGCCAATCCTACTTCAGCAACTTTTGAGCCTGATGTTCTTATACAAGAACTGGACCAGCACCTTGTGAACTTATGCTTATCTATCGACAGCAAGAGCAATGCCCTGAAGAACCAGCTGAGAAACCGTTAACTTGAAGGAATGTGTCAACGTCAATATAGACAATGAATACTGGGACTTCAGCTGGGAAGAGCATTTGTTGGTTTGAGAAATGTTCCCAATTTGATTTCTGCTAATAATGATATAATAATCCTTGTATTCGGTATAGTGCCAATTATGTTGAGAGGATGTCTCAAAAGCGTTTCACAATATTTTACTGTCAAGTATTTGTTGGTGAATGTGGCATGTGGCAGGCCATATGCGCCCAGCAGGTTCCCATGACAATGACCTAAAGTGAATGACCAATTTTATCTGGGGGATTGTTGGCCAGGACACCAACCGGGAGAAACTATCTTTTCGACTTTAAGATTCTCACAATCCACAAATCCATACACTTCCTAACACCTCCTTACCTCTCTGTTCTGCTGACTCCCCACTCCGTTCCACCACCAGCAGTCATGCTTTCAACCACTATACCCCTAAACTCCAGAACTCTGTTCCTCAATGCCTTCGCCAAGATCCCTCCTTCCTCATCATCAGATCACCCCTGAAGGCCTTTATCTTCGACCGTGTCTCAAGTCACCACCCCGTTCCCACTGGCTTGGCATCACTGTTAAACGCTCCCAGATGCTACCCTGTGTAAAGGGAGCTAAATAAATGAATAAAGTTGTTGCTGTTCACTCACAGAGCAGAGGCCCTTGGTGCTCTTGAGCTAAAGTGTGGATAAAATTCAGTCAGGATACCTTTCCTGATCACTGTTCAAGACATCAAATTGTGGATTACTGTAATAATCTTCCACTGCTTCGTAAAAGCATTTTGTGCTAGTAGCATCTCATGACCAGAGTCCATTTGCTCCTTTAACACTGTATTATTTTGCTGATATTGGCATGTTAGATAGGGGATGAAGAGCCAATGTGTTTGCTTTTCACGTCGAACCTAAGTTTAAGCGCTCTGAGACGCTGCCCCATGTGAAGGGCGCTATATGAATGCAAGTTGTTGCTTTTAACGGCTGGGAATTATTGGTAAAACTCCATTGCACTGAACACAGGGCAAAACCCAGCTGGGAGTTTTTAGGGGAAATATGTCTTTAGCTCCGAATGGATTGCAGTTATCTACATTGTTTAAAACCAGTCTTGGTGAGTTTTGACAATCTTGGTGATTTGTTAAAATCAAGGCAATCTTGGTGATTTTTGACTGTGGTGGATGTCTCATTGTGATGGTTTCTGACAGGCAGGCAGACCCAGGCTCGGCTGATGTATGTTTTCCTGATTCTTTTTTCTGTAAAATCACTGAATAAAACAGCAGCACAGTGTTGTTCTGGGAGCTGCATCCATCTGTACAAGCACTGAGCAAACCTCTCTGGGAGGCTCAAGAGTTTTAGAACATGATGCAGCAACATTTGTAGCTCTTGCTGGTTTGCTTTACTGGCTACAGTGATAGAGAAAAATACAGGACAACCAAGATACTGAGCAGACAGACTGCATTTCATTCAACCTGTTTGAACAGTAAGATTTCTCTAATTGTTTGATGAGACACTACCCTGGGTGAAGGACGCTGTATAAGTGTGAGTTGTTGTTTGCAGTTACCACTTGTGTCAAAAGCACTTTTGTGGTGTTAGCCTCGTTCAGTTGGGTGCACTCTCACCTCCAAGACAGAAAGTTGTGGATTCAAGTCCCATGTTGGGACTTTGAACTCACAGTTTAGACCAACACACAATTGCAGTTACTAGGGGAACACTGTATTGTTGGAGGTACTGTTGTTTGGATGAGACATTAAACCAAGGTCCTGTTTGCCTGTTCAGGTTGACGGCCAACAATTCCCCGGATAAAATTGGTCATTCACTTCATGGCTGTTTGTGGGACATTCCCGTATGTAAATTGTAAGGTTCTCCTTCAAATATACAGTCACTTTGCTTTATAGTAAATCCTGTGAAGCCCTTTGAGACCTTTCGACGATGTGATAAGGCACCATATCAAATACAAGGTTTATTTATTTCATCATTTATTATTGGACAAGCTGTTGACGGTTGTTGAGCTTTCGTTGTAGCCTTGGTGGACAAATTTATGTTGGAACATAAAATTGTGCACAGCATTAAAGCAAATAATTCTATTCATTTTGTGGGGATGTTTATTAAAGTTCAGTCAGGGACAGCGGCTCACTGCATTACCTATAGTTACATGTCCCCTGACTTAGATAAGAACAACCTAAGAAATAGTCAATCATGTTACAGAATGTTAGTCTGTTGCTCATGAGTCTATTTCAATTTCAACTGTCTTGTAAAATTAATAGACCTACCACATCTTACTGTGGTGTTAACACTGAATCCACTCGGATTTATATTGGTCTGTTGTATTCTGTCAGGTTTTATGCGTTGAATTGCCAGCACAGTATTACTGCGAAGTGCTTTGAGAATGAAATGGTTCCGTTCCAGGCATGTTATCATTCACAGCTTCTGTCTCACGAGTCATCAATTAGAGCACGGCTCGTAAAATGCGGATGTGGATCAACTCAAAAAAACACAGAGGTAGATGTCAAACATTGTGCCAGTGTCTCTCTCAAATGGCGAATGGTCAACAGTGAGGTTTTTCTGGCACTGATTGCTAATGCTAGTGACTTTTTTCATTCTGTCTTTACAGTGGGTTTCTGGACGTGTCAGACACCTGGCTAACCAAAAGAAATCCCACTTGAAGTAGGATAAGCCCACTTAGATAGACCATGTTTTATCTTGTATTGAACAGTAGAACCAGAGGACCCTGCCTGTGATTGAAAGGGGGATAAATTCAAAACAAATCTGCAGAAACACTGCTTCAGTGAACGAGTAGTAAATATATGGAACAGGCTCCCTAGGGAGACGGTGGAAGCAGAAATTGTCCATTCTTTCAAGATACAGTCTATAGTTTGGGACATAACATGTGCATGTGACTAGTAGGATGATAGAAGTTGAACTGGATGGATCTTGGTCTTCTTTCACCTAGCAATTCTTATGTACTTATGTAAGTAAAGCTGTCCGTCCCGCCCACAGTGACGCCTTAGGCTGTGTGACTCTGGGCCAAACATACAATACAATTACCCACTGAACTATCGGAAATCTAATTTATTGTTATAAACTACAGATGCCAGGGCACTGTTGACAAGTGAATTATAAAGGCCTATCCCACTGAGCAGAAAACAAAACGAGAAAAAGCACACAGTGCCAGCATGACTGGGGCAGAATTGCCATATAAAGAAGTGCGAGTGATCTGGAGACACAATGTTCTGGGTCGGGAAAGCCCAGAACTATTAATAAATAAAAGCCTTTCAAAAGGGCAAAGGCACTAGGGCACACTTTCTGGGTTTGTCGTATCAGCTATTTTCAAAATCATGCGTGTTTGACCTGTTTGCGAGTGTAACTTTGCTGATGAAATAAAACTGTGTTCGAAGGGATATTGGTTTGAAGTTTTCTTTTTAAAATGTAGATCTTCCTTTTGGAAAAGGATAAATTCTAACAACCGCTGAGTTAGAAGGTTGTGGGTTGAAGCCTCACACAGCTTGAACAGGTATCGACTAGGCTGAGACTCCAATGCAGTTCTTTGAATGAGATGCTAACCTGAGGTTTAATCTACCTGTCCAGCTGGACATTAAAGAATCTTGTGATACTCTTTGAATAGAGAAGGGAGTTTCTCCTTTTCAGCATTCTTCCAGATAAATTGATCATTCATGTTATGATAGCTCTTTGTGGGACTTTGCTGTATGCAAATTGGCTGCTGTGTTTGCCTACAAAATATGCAGTCACTCTGCTGTATACTGGCTGGCAATTAACTGTTTGAAACATTTTGACTTTGTAGATTTACCAAAAGCAAGGATTATTCTAATGACCGCCCAATTTTCATTTCTAAATGATCGTGTTTGCTGAGGCACTTTGTTTGAGATGTTTATTTCATATGAAAGGAGCTGTGCAAACGCCAGTGTATTATCCTCTCACACCACTGCCCACTGCGGGCGAAAGTTCCACCTTACTGCAGTTACACAGCTGAAGGCTGACAAGTGATGGATAGGGCACAGCGAAAAATCAAACACTATTTCCTGGGGGCCTGCTGGCTGAATAGGCAAATAAAACAGGTTGCCTCAGAATATTTTCATTGCGAGTCAGTTGGATCAGCACGCCTGGCACTCTGGAGATATTCTCAGTTTCTGAGCATTCTGAATAAACTGCAACCCAAGCAGAAACAGTCCCCCTTCTACAAAAAAAACCTGAGACCAATTAAACACTACTGAGATGGTAAAGTCTTTTAATGAGCTTAGTTTTTTGCTGACTGGTTCTACCTCCTGTGTTTTGTTCACTCCAGTTCTGTTTTCTTTTGGACAGTAATATTCTTTTGTAGGAGTAAGGATGTAGAGTCCTGTAGCATGGTGGTTAGGGAGCTTGCCTTGCAAGCAAGAGGACAGGGGGTTCGATTCCTGGGTGGGGCAAAACCTTAGGCAAGTTTCCTTACTCCACACGTTTCTGTTAGGTAAGTTGGTTCCTAGGTAGACAGAAGAGTTAGTTGATCGACAGATCACTTTTCCAGGGCTAATAATCCCTCAAAGAGAAATTGGTCACTTAATCCATGACTATTTAAGGGACACTGCTCTGTGCAATTGGAAAGGAAAACATGCCATCTAACAGCAGGCAACGAGATTGTAACTTTCACAGAAAAATAGAAATCTACAGCGCAAAAGGAAGCCAGCAAAGAATTTATATAATAATCCTTTTAATTATCCTTGCATTCGATATATTGTCTTTCACGTCGGGAGGACGTCTCAAACCGCTTCACGGGATTCACGGCGAACGCTGTAGCCAATTTGCACATAGAATTGTCCCCAAAACAGCTGTGAAGTGACTGACCAATTTTACATGGGTGTTTGTTGTCCGTGACTGAGGTTGTTTTCGTGTGTGTATTCATGTATCTGTTTCTTACAGTGATGGCACAGATAGTGCAGACCAATGGAACCCAACCCCTTAGCAAAACGTGGGAGCTCAGCTTGTATGAGCTACAGAGAACACCACAGGTACAGTGTCTGTGTGTGTGTGTGTGTGTGTGTGTATATCCCCCCCTCCCAAATCCAGCCTCCAGCTTAGGTGCAAACCCTCAAGTATCCAGCGCCTTGGGATATCCTCCTCTGACGTGATAATTGCTTATATGAAAATGCAGTTTGTTGTTGTTGTGTGGATGGGTGGGTGTGTGCAGTGTTTTGTAGTGTGTATACTATGCATGTGGGTAGTCTGTGTGTTTGAACAGATTGATCAGGAATGACTTCCCCAGTTTACTGAACTTAACTTCTAACCAGCCATCACGATACAAAGCAGTTGTAAAACATGCTGCACGGCACCTCGTGACCTCCTTTACAGCCACTTACAAGCTTACATTGTACAGAGATTCGGAGAGTGGCATTTAGTTATGATCATTTTCTCATCACTAGATGAAAGCTGGCCAGTTGATTGACCGCTAACTCTGGGACGGCCTTTTATGAACGGCATTTCGATTCTTGACAATCCAATGCTGTGTTGTGGTCTCTGAGCGGATCTGAGGCGAGGCAGAGGGGAGGCCAGGCATTTAACCACAAGGAAGGATTAGGAAGAAATTACATGAAGAAAGTCCTGCCAGTTTTGCACTGTGAACTTCCTGGCAATGCATCCCACAATACAGCAATGGCTGGAGGAGTCTATTCGACTGAGCAGGGAAATAGGAGAAAGAGCAGAATAAAGTGGTCCTTTATGATATGAAATGGTTGCTGGTGAGCAAGGAGCCAGTATTCCTCCCTCAGTCACAGTGTGGACTTCTCTGTGTCTAGCGTTGGCTACTCCTCATCTCAACATTCAGGGCATTCCAGTTGGCGTAAGCCATCCTAGGCCAGAAAACCTTAGGTTTGAGCTGCTGACATCACCCAACAGAGAGTACAGGTGGGCAAGTGGGTAAGATCGGACCATTTGCAAAGCTGTTTATGGACAAAAGGCCTTCCGACAATTGCTGTCCAGGTTTGTCCGTGAAGCACGGCTGATTGGAGCAGGTACCAGCAGGAGCAGAAGGACATCTTCTGTACTGCACTGAGAGTCCGTGCATTTAGGAGGAGAGTGATCATAACTAATCAATTGATCAATCAGCGAATAGTCTGATCGGGTCCCCACTTTCCCTGTCCTCCACCCTTCCAGATCCCAACCCCCAGCTCAGGTCCAAATCTCTGTCTGTCCAGTGACTTGGGACATCCTCCCGAGGTGAAAGGCAATATACATATGTAATTTGTTGTTGTTGTTGCTGCTGCTGTTGTCTTGAGCTGCTGGCATGTGACGCGCTGTGGTTTACAGGAGGCCATTACAGACGGGATGGAGATTGCGGTGTCGCCGAGGAGCCTGCACAGCGAGCTGATGTGTCCCATCTGTCTGGACATGCTGAAGAACACAATGACAACCAAAGAGTGCTTACATCGCTTCTGCGCGGACTGCATCGTTACTGCACTCAGGAGCGGGTACGTACGAGAGCTGTATTGGATAGAGGCCCACAAAATACTTCACTGTGAAGATTTTGAGACGCCTCAATTTTGTGATAAGGCACTATATCAAATGCAAAGATGATGATTATTATTATTAACTGGAATATGGGTGTAGGAGACCCGTTGGAACTTTGGGGTTAAGGTAAATCACTAACGTTACACTGTTAGTTTATGTTTGATATCGCCTGGGCCCTTGTGATCCCACATAAGTATATATTGTAGCTGTATACTTACTGCTTATACATTGTATCTGTACACTTTACTGCATATACATTGTATCTGTACACGTTACTGCTAATACATTGTATCTGTACACTTTACTGTTTATACATTGTATCTGTACACTTTACTGCTCAGGTAGCTGCTACCTTCTGGACATATCACTGTTTGCAACAGTGAATTGCATTATAATAATAATAATCCTTGCATTTGATATAGCGCTTTTCACGTCGGGAGGACGTCCCAAAGCGCTTCACAGAACACACTGTAAAGTGAATTGACTGTACATTTGTGGGCGAACGCGGCAGCCAATTGCGCACAGCAATGTCCCACAAACAGTCGTAGATTGAAAATGACCAATTTATTATTGTTTTTGGTTTTGGAGGGATTATTATTAGGCTCTGTGTGGAGTAAGGAAACTTGCCCAAGGTTTCGCCCTGTGCCTGGAATTGAACTCAGGTCTCTCGCTTTCAAAGCGAGTGCTCTAACCACTGAGCTATAGGACTCCACAAAGTAAACCGGTTCACAAAGTAAACATTACCGGTTTACAAAGTAAAATATGCTGTTCCTCAGGAGATCAAGTTTACTGAGTAGTGTTATTTTATTTGTGTTCGGAGTGGTGTTGATATTAAACTTGCACCACTATTGCTTGGAGCCTTGCACCCGTGTTTTGTGCTAAGAAATGCAAAATAGCTTTGTCCCTTACTTTAGGATTTACCCAGTCAGTAGAACAAGGTTTGGAGTTGTAACGGGAAATTTCAGGACAAACACTGTTAAGTTTTTCTTTGTCCAGAGTTTAATTAAATAATGATCAGAAGGGGTTGAAAGGAAGAGTGGTTGAGGCAAGGACACTCGAATCATTTTAAAAAGCAGCTTGATGCTGTGATGGAGGTGGGTGTTCTGGAAAGATGAGATCGGATGAGCTGAAGAGGTCTTCACTTCATCCGAACCGATCTTGTAATTACAGCATCAGGTTGTTTCTTTAGTGAATCTGCTGTTCTGGGCACTGCCACCCTTTTTGTTAGTCTGTTCAAGCCATCATTTTCCTCTAAGTGAAAAAATATTTCCTGGTCACGAAATTGCCATTCGAGGCCCTCCCGGAACCTTGACCTGCGTTGTTTCCACGAACATGTTGTTTCGATGCTCACCAGCGACCTTAATTAAAGCGGTCACAAACCATCCAGTGCAGAATGAATGAATGAATGATGCATCCTTGTCTGTCTTTAGAAACAAAGAGTGTCCAACCTGTAGAAAGAAACTGGTGTCCAAGCGATCACTGCGGCCGGATCCGAACTTCGATGCACTGATCAGCAAAATCTACCCCAGTCGGGATGAGTACGAGGCACATCAGGAGCGGGTGCTGGCTCGCATCAGCAAACACCACAACCAGCAGGCCCTGAGCCACAGTATTGAAGAGGGACTCAAAATGCAGGCGCTTAACAGGTAGGCATTTATTGTGTTGACTGCACTTTGCATTTTACTGAGCAATGTTGGTAGTTTATTGCCTACAAAATGTGCAGTCCTGCAGTCTTGTAGCGTATTGGTTAGAGCAATCGCCTCGCAAGTGAAAAGACCCAGGTTCGGTTCCGGGCAGGTGGAAACGTTGGGCAACTTTCCTTCCTCTGTGTGCTTCTGTTTACTCAGCAGTAAGTAGGAACCTGGCTATTAGCTGTGGGCGAACTTTCAATAGAGATCGGATTCCTCCTGGAATAAGTTGTGTTTGTACGAGTGATTGAGAAAGAAAGTCGTACGATATTGATTCCAAATTGTGCCTGCACAAACAGGAAGTAATATTTGAGGTAGTGAGTAAGGCTGACTTGCTGCTGAAGCTATCTGAGCGGCAGAGATGTGTCGAGTTCAGACCGGACACTGGAATCAGTTGTGCAGTGAGAAAGTGAGAGTCTAAGGCACGGCTTTCAAATCATTTTGCTCAAAATGGACCAGGTGGCATAGACCGAGTTTTAGAAGGGTGAAATGGATTTTGTGGAGAATGTAAGGCGGAAGCTGAAAGGAAGGAAGCGTGGTTGTGGCCTTGATAAGAGAACCTGCAGCAATGAGTTTGAAAAAGGATTCCTGAATGAACCCCTGAGCCACAACAGGGGACAAGTGGGGGGTGGGGGGATTGCAGCAAAAAAAATACTAATCGCAGTTTATTGTGATATGGCTCGATATTGTCAGAGTGGGTTCAAGCCCCACATTGGGACTTGGAATCATGTTGTCTAAGCTGACAATCCAATGCAGTGCTGGAGGGGTGTTGCATTCTCGGAGGTGCTGTCATTCGGGATAGACGTTACACCAAGGACCCGTCTGCCTGTTCAGGTGGACGTTAAACATCCCGTGACACTATTCGAAAAGAGAAAGGAGTTTCTCTCTCCAGGTGTTTTAGCCAACAGATCCCCCAAATAAAATCAGTTGCTCACTCCACGGTTGTTGGTGTGCGCAACTGGCTGTCGCTTTTCACCCACAAAATATGAAGCCCTTTGAGACGTCTCGACAACATGATAAGGCGATGTATCAAATGCAATATAACATTTTGCCCGTGTGTCCTGGCAGGACAGCACACTGAGGCATGTCGACAGCGTTCTGTCTGTGTATCCCAACACAGTGATCTAACATTCCAACATAGTCTTGTCTAACATTCTGATGACTCGGGGATGGTTTGTGCTGCGAGGGACTGGGTATAGTTGTACTGACCCTCTCTGGCATCTCCCTACCTTTCCGACCTCCTCACTCCCCAATCCACCACCTGGCGCCTCCGCTCAACTGGCACCAGCCACTATGCCCCGAAACTCTGGAACACTCTCCCTCAATCCCTCCACCTTGCCTCCTCCCCTTTTTCAAGTCCCACCTGAAAATCTTCCTCTTCGACTGTGCTTGTGGCCACCTCCCCCGCCCCCCCCAGCTCGGTGTCAGGCTCCGCCACTGTTAAGCGCTCTTGAGATGCTGCCCTGCGTGGAAGGGGCTATATAAGTGCAAGTTGTTGTTGTTGTTGTTTTTCCCTTCTCCCCCCCCCCACCCCTGACCCCAGGTTGGATCTGAAATGCTGTACACTGTCCAGCGCCTTGGGACGTCCTCCCGACGTGAAAGGCTCTATACAAATGTAATCTTGTTGTTGTTGTTCTTGTTGATTGTGAGATATTGGTGTGTCCGGCACAGAGCGCAAAGGGTGAGGAAGCACCAGGCTGAGAATGGCAGCGGAGCGGAGGATAACGGGGACAGCTCACACTGCAGCAACGCCTCCATTCACAGTAACCAGGAGGCCGGCCCCAGCCAAAAGAGGGCAAAGACCTCGGACGACTCGGGCCCCGATATGGACACCACCAACGAGAATGGGACGGGGGACCCCGAGCCCGTGACTGATGGGACCAACGAGATCGAGCTGGTCTTCAGGCCTCACCCTACACTAATAGAGAAAGATGAATCGGCTCAGACCAGGTATATATAAGGGGGAATTATGCCGTCGGAATTTCGTCATCCCCCACATTTTTTTAATATGATATATGTCAGCCTGGCTCAGTGGGCAGCACTCCCAAGTCAGAACCTTGTGGGCTCAAGCCTCACATCAGGGCTTGGAACTCACATGGTCCAAAGTGCTGTGTCTGTTGGACGTGCCTTCCTTTGGGTGAGACATTAAACCCATGCTGCTGCTGCCTGTGCCTGTTCAGGTGGACGCTGGCCCTAAGGGAAGGGAGTTTCTCCCAGTGTTATATGCAAAGATTGTTATTTATAAGTTGACGTACAATGTCGTGTTAATACCGTGCGAGAACGACACGGCACCAGAAACCTGGCTGTGTTGCGTCTCGCGTTTTGAGGCTCCGATTGCCCTCGGAGGGTGCTGCAAAATGCGCTGTAAAGCAGCTGCTCTAAATGTTTCTTTTCTTTCTTTTAACCAAGGCAGGTCACGACGGGGGTCCCAAGGATCGTGGGCCGCGTACCAGTGTCGAGAAAGCGGTAAGCGTTAACACCGTCGCCGGTTTCTCTGCAAACCGACAGCACAATGTCTGTCTGGGATAATCTGCTCCGAGACTGTGCCGCCATTATGGAAACTGGGCCTGTATGAGGGTAGTTATAATAAAAAAATACAAGTTGTTGTTGAAGAGAGAGCTGTGTGTCATAATAAGCAGAAACTAAAAGAAGGACTGGAGTCAGAACTGGTGGTGGTTTTAAACCCCGAAACAAAGAAAGTATCATTTGTTAAATTTCTATAGAACCAGCAGAAGGTATCTAACCAGAGAACAGAGGTCCGTTCTGTCTAATAGCTTCCTGTTATTGTGGTAATGTCACATGCTGCCCTCAGGCAGTGTACCGCAGCGTGGTTTACGAATGGTTTTCAGCAATTCTCGCCTTGAGCTTACTCCCCAAGTCTCTTTCAGCTCCTGCACTGATTGGAATGCAGTTTGGCTTTCGGTCACCGTGTCTTGAATGGGAGAGTCTTCACTCAGCAAGGGACACTGCCGTGTGCGATTGGCTGCTGCCTATTGTCCACAAATACAATTTGCTTTACAATATATTCTGTGAAGTGCTTTGAGACATTTCGAAGGCGCTATATCAAATGCAAGAATTATTATTATTATATTGACCTTCGAGAATGCATTCTCTCCCATAGTTTTACAGCTGTGTTGCTCTCGGCCCCTGGAAACAGCTATATGTGTTTGGCTACATGGGGTCACCTCTGCTTTTGGTTACACTGCAAGGCGGAGTCCCATTTAGAGACCACCCACCTCAGCGCGCACAACCCATTTCCATTTCAGCAGAAGGCAGATTCTCCCGGTGTCCGGATAAATTGGTCATTTACCTTGTGATGTTTATGGGATGTTGCTGTGTGGAATACCTGTGAAGCTCTTTGAGGTGTTTTGACATTTATAGGCACTATTTCACATGCAAGTATTATTCTTGTGATCGATGATTATATTTTGCTTTGGGACTAGCAGGGTACCTGACGCACATCACCATGCTCAAGGGTATCTATATGTGGATCTCAGTATGGTTTGGATACTCTTAGGCACTGACAGCATCGCCATTCAAGGATGCACAGTCCACCTCACTGGCCAGTCCAGAACCTTGGCATCTTAGTTGACCCTCAACTATCCTTTCTACCCCATATCCATGCCATGACCCGTTCTGCCTTCCCCCACCTCTGCAACAATGTCCGTCGGCGCCACTGTCTCACTCCGTGGGCCGCCGAAACCCTCATATATGCATTCGTAGCATCCGGACTCAACTACGCAAACTCCCTGCTTGTCGGCCTCCCCAACTCCTCCCTCCATAGGCTGCAGATCATCCAGAACTCTGCAGCCCATGTCCTCTCCCCCACGAGGCTCCCTGATCTTATTACCCCCATCTTCACCCAACTCCACTGGCTTCCCATCACACAGAGGATACAGTTCAAAATCCTGGTCCTCACCTTCAAAGCCCTCACATCCCCTGCCTCGCCCGCCCCACCACTGGCGGAGGGGCCTTCAGCCACTCTGCCCCCACCACCTGGAACTCCATCCCACAGTCCCTCCGCCTCACCCCTTCCCTTGACTCCTTCAAGACCTGTCTCAAGACCCTCCACTTTGACCGTGCCTTCGGTCACCCTCCTTCCCCCTGCCGCCTGCCCTCCACCCTCCCTGATCCCGACCCACCATCTTGTGCCCAAAACACTGATTGTCCAGCGCCTTGGGACGTCCACCCAATGTGAAAGGCGCTATACACGTGTAATTGTGTTGTTGTCACCTACATATGGAACTTTCTCTGTGTCTGGCGTAAAATGCGAACTCTCTCCCTGGAGGGATGTACCCTGCTTGCATTACATGTTACCCCCAGAGTGTGTGTTAAGGGGTACCAGATAAAACCACTTAGTTTACCCTTGAGAGCACTGTCTGGCAAGCTTCCCACTGCTTGTCCGCCTAAGACCATCCTGCTTTGACTTGCAGGGCTAGCAAGAGCCAACGGTGAGTATAAACAGGGTGCAGATTGCAACAAGCCCTTAAAAGGAGCAAATAGGAAATGAATGGGAGCGACTGGCTCTAAAAATAGATACTGTGGCACGTTAGGCCCCGGGGAATTCTGTACTGAAAATGGTTGGTTGTTACGATATGTTTTTGATGAATCCGCAGGAGGGGAAAATATATTCCATCCAAATGCTTGTTGTTTTGTAGGTCTCTCTGTGTCGCGCTCCATGCTCCGAGACGCTATATAAATGCAAGTTGTTGTTGTTGCTCTGCTGCAGTGCTAAGTGATTCACCAGGTTATATGATTCACCGTTTAAAAGTAGCTGTGGCCATCGCATTGACGTTCTCTCCGCCCCCAACACTTTTGTTGCTGTTTGTTGGTGACAGGTACATAAAAACCACAGGGAACGCCACTGTTGACCATCTCTCCAAGTACCTGGCCATGCGGTTAGCCCTGGAGGAGATACGGAAAAATGACGAGGCGAATCCCGTGGACGTGGAGACGGTCAGCGAGAAACAGTACACGATCTACATCGCCACAGTCAACAGCCAGTTCACTGTGAGTCAGCTGAGGCCTGTAGCTCGCTATGCAGTGGGGCAAAGTGCTTTGGGGAGTCCTTGTGACATGAAGTACTCTGTTTTTTGTATTTTGGTACCTGGGTGTCTGACACGTACAGAAACCCATTACCATGTTGGGCGAATCCAAACCAAGCTGAGAATTCCATGCATCCCATCTATACATGGAAATTCATGAGATAGATTGTTGGAATGGAGCGCGCACTCTCTCCCTGGAGGGACGCATCCTGCTTACCTAATTCCGGAGAGTATTAGGCACAGGTTGGCAGAACCAGGCTGGAGACCGCAGAGGGGATTGGGGATACTGCTGATGTAAATTGTTTTGTATATTGCTGGGCGAGGGGTGGGGTGGGGGCCGGGGGGGTGGTGGAGCAGCACTTAATCCAACATTTGGGAAAGAGCAGAGAAGTTGGGTGGTTGGTTTAAGTGAAGACACCCATCACATGTCAATTGCTAACTCTTATCAGTCATTTTGCCTTGTGCTGAAAATGAGGTTTCCCCAAACAAAATGAATCTTTATGATAGCAGATGTGGTCTGCAAAGAGCTCATCCTTCCATGACCATCAATATCTATGTCCTCACGCTTGGTTTTGATACACAACACAAATGGCCTGAACGAGATTTCACGAGACGACTGCGGTCCAAAATGTTTTAGCACTTTTAATTTGCAACCCTGGCAGTGCTTTCACCTCCAAGTCATAAGGGACTTTTGAGCTCATAGTCCAGGCTGACGCACTGTGCAGTTTTGGAGAGAGAGTTGCATTGTCAGAAGCACTGTCCTTCAGGTGAGATGTTAAAACCCAGGCCACGTCTGTGCCTGTTCTTCAGCTGGGATGTTAAAGATCCCACAGAGAAGGGAGTTTCAAATTAAATTTCCTCACTCACTCCATGACTGTTTGTGGGATCTTGGACATCACCTGCTGTGCTTGCTTTTAAATTGTCCATACAGCATTTTGATCCATTGACATTATAGTTGCTATATCAAATTCAAAGATAGTAGTTGTTGTAGGAGTTGTAACTCAAGCAGACTTGCATGAATGTGAATCACTTTGAGAAGCCAATCTAAACTCAGCGCACAGGTCAGAGTACAGCAAAAATTTACTGTTTGTATGTTCTTTCTCCCTCCTATCCCCACAGCTACTAAATGGCTCCTTTTCACTGGAGCTCGTCAGCGAGAAGTATTGGAAGGTGAATAAGCCCATGGAACTGTATTATGCACCAACCAAGGAACACAAGTAGGCACCATGGGCAAGATCCACTGCGAGGATTGGGGGTGGGGTGGGGTTGGGAGGGTGGAGGTGTGGGGGGGGTGGGGGGGTTGGGGGGGCTTTGAGAGCGCGGCCACGACAACGCCTCTCAAAGGCTGCCGCGAATTCATCTTTCGTGAGACGGCAACCCACGGCGGGCCAAACGGAAACCACGACCATGCCGGGTGGAATCTGGATCCGAGGCATCGCCAGTCAGCTGGGGCCTGGCTGCCGGTGATTACCGGTGAGGGAGTGTTGCCAGGAGAACAGCTCGCAATTCAGAAAATAGAACCTTGTAGTTTGCTGTCGTCGGTTCCTGGACTATTTTACGGGGGCAACATATATACCGACATATATAGATATGGATATCTATATATTTTTTTCTTGTGTTGCTGTAATTGTCTGCAGGCCTGTCTGTTGCTGGTCAGTAACTGAGGTCAAGGGTTTTTATTTTGCATTTAAAGCCTGAAAACGAGTCTTTTCCTTTTGAAGGTGAGTCCCGAGTCCCCGCCCATGCCCTTTTGATGTTATTGCAAAGTTATTGTTTTAAACAGACTTGTGCGATTCCACGGTGCACTGCACTGAAGCATAGCAATGAAGTGCAAACAGATAAATATATTTTCAATGTCTCTCTTATTTAAATAAAAATCTGATGCTCTTTTTTTTTCCCCCTCCTCCCCTCCCCTCCACAGGTGAAGCGTATTTAAAAAAAGCTTTATCTGCTGGGTATTTATGTTGTCAGTTAGTCGAGTACTAGTAGTTGTTATTACTGTGAACTATACTGTACTTAAGTATCTACTGTTTTATTAGTGCATTGTTTCTGCCAAAATTGAAATTAAATCTTTTTGTTTCGTTTCTGGACTGAATACTCATTTGAAATAATTAATCAGATAAATCCATGTCTCAGTCACAGTTCCGGAGCTTCTAGAATGATCTTGAAAAGACCAACCCGCCAATCGGGCAGTTACTTCATGGTTGCTTGTGGGACAGTGCTGTTCGCAAATTGTCTGCCATCTTTGCCTACAAATAACACAGTCACTACACTTTACGGACAACTGTGATGCACTTAGGAATGTTTCGGCCACATTTAGCACTGCATTCAATCCAAGGATTAATGTACACGTCATCGTTATGGGACACACGCCATTGAATGTCAACGGAAGGGCTGAAATCTGACAATCCTTTATATGAAACCTGCCGCACACCTCATAACATATCAAACAACAAACATTCTCCAATTTCTTGAAATCTCGAAACCTTCCTTTTCGACCGTGCCTTCGATCTTCTTCCCTCCTCCAAACCCCCGCCCTCTACCCCTCTCTGATCCCAACCTGCAGCTTGGGTGGAAACCCCTCATTGTCCAACTCCTTGGGACGTCCTTCCGAAGGGAAAGTCGCTACATGAATGCAATTTGTTGTCATTGAAGTCGCTTCTCGGCCACCTTTCTCAAACCGCTTGCTACCGAAAAAGCTGCCGAAAGCCCTTGGTGAGCATTTGCTAGCAACACAGCTGTGTTCATTCAGTTTGGCTAAATTTAGCTGCACCTGCGCAGAGACCATTCAAGTGTACAGTTTCAGGCTACCGTGATTTATTATCGCTTGATGGATGGCCCGGTTTCTGCCGCTTTTTTTTTGATAGGTCATTAAATGAACGTTGAGTTCAGAATGCTGCACCCCTGAATGAGAGCTGCCCACCTTTGTGGATCAATCTTCCCCCCGGGAGACTCTCAAGGAAGACGGGCGCTTGAGATTTAATACCCTGTTATTTGAAGGAGCATCTCCTCCGAACCTCGATCTTTGTCTTTGATACTTTGGATGAGGAAATGTCCATGTTGCCCTTCCTCTTTGTAAGAGAATAACTATTCTGAAAGGGAGAAATATAAATGTGAGTGTGTATGTGTGTGTGTGTGTGTGAGGAAGAGGTAGGAGAATGGGACTAAATGGAGAACTCTTTCAGAGAACTAGCACAGATGTGAAAGACCTTTTGATGTTACTTTAAAATTTGGCAGCCTATCCCTACGTTTTGCTACTTACTATTCCCTTGCATCGGGGGCAGTGAAACCAATTCCAGATCACATCACACGGTAATAATAATAAAAATAATAATTGTTCCATTTGATATAGCGTCTTATCATGTTATTGAGGTGTCTCAAAGTGCTTCACCTAATATGCTGTAAAGTGTGTATTGACCGTATATTTTGCGGGTGAAGGAGAGGGGTGAAGGAGGCAAGGTGACCAAAGGTACAACAGACCCGGGTGCAGTCCGCCATTCAATAACCTCTGCTATCCCTCACACTATTCTCTGGTTTAATCGTGCTTAGACCTTAGTTCAGTCAAGTGAGAATAAGTTGAATGTTGACAGATAGGAGAGGAGACGTTTCTTTACGTCACTGTGGCACTCGCTGTTATCCGTCCATTTGACTCACAAAATAAAATTACTCGTGTCTAAGATGGGCTAATAGCACAGCATGTCATTCAGATGGATATCTATTGGCAAGGGATTAAATGCTAACCATGCAGATGCCCTTACTCATATGATGAACTAATGAAAAGATTTTCAGACTTGCCTGTGATCCTAATGTAAGTGATATTATTGAGGGCACCTGTATATGTTTGGCCCTTGTTGTTTCCATAACACTAACAGCAGATTGTTCTTAAGATAAACTGTTATAGTGGATAGTTAGGAAGGATGAGCAAGAGAGGGAGAAAGCCACAATGTGAGGTTGGAGCTCAGGACAAAAAAGCTGTAAAATGGTTCATAATCCTCCCTAGTGGACCCTGATGATTTCCAGTTATGTCAACATGCAGGAAGCTAGCAGTATGCTCAGAGACCTTCTGATTTCATACACAAGTAGACGTCGACAGAACTGCTTTATAAAACCAGTTTGACTAGATGATCATGGCATAAAAAGCGTATGTCATCTGACAGCCTTGGAAATTTAGCACTGTCTTCACACGTTACTTGGCATGAGCAGCAACAGCTTTCTGCTCACACTTACACATACCTCACTGACACCTTTCTTTTATTAAGTACCAACTGCAGATCTCTTTAAACTATGCGTACAATGCCTTTTATGTGGCTTTTCTAGAATGACACATGGGGTACGTATTGTGTCAGACAGAAACTGTCGTTGGTGGTGAACATCCTCTGGTTTTAAAGGTTGTGTACCACTTTCAGAGCACATTCTATAATCCTGGCATTTGATACAATACCTTTCACATTGTGAGGATGTCTTAAAGTGCCTAACGGGATTTACAGTAAAGTGTAACTCATTTGTCAAGAGTAGTGACTGTATTTGCACACAGCAACGTCTCACAAACAGGCATGAACCAGAAAGTGCTAAATGTTGTAGATCTTTTGATGCAGTTATCTCTAAAATCATGGCGTCATTTTTTACTGCTGAGCGACACAGCAGTTGGGCTGCTTTACTCGCCTCCCACTCACTGGGCTGAAAACATCTGCGTGTCTCTTTGGAAATCAAGCCTCAGTGAGTCCTGTTGGAAGCTCGCTGCGGCTGTCTAAACACAAAAGGCACAGCTTGTCTCAGTGTGTCTCAATTGTTAAAGAGTTCACTACATTGAAAAGTATTGCAAACGGTTTTTGATTCTTCCTCCTCCTCCACATTCATTATACACCATTTCAGGTTAGCACTTACTCTCACTGTCTATCTGGACCTGTGACAAATGAGCAATAAATGTGAGGTGAGCTAACCTGAGCTCCAACGGATTGAGCGTGTTGGCTGTTACATGTTCAGCCTTTACAAAGCTCTATGCATACTAGGTCAGGAGCTAGATAAGACTTTCTATTGTTGATTGCCTTTTCTCTGTAAGATATTACACTCACTACATCCATTTGTCCCCAGCCACTTACTAATAGCCTGAGGGAGGGTGGTATACTTTAAGAAGCAAAGACCGGGATTGTTGTTAGCCAGGACATTGGGAGAAATTTCCTTATTTTTTCAAATTGTGCTATCCACTTGAAGAGGCAGACGGGACTTGGGTTTAACATGACAGTTTAAAGGATGGCACCCCCAACAATCCAATGCTCTTCCCAGCACTGCACAGGTATGACAGCTTAGACTGAGTGTGAATGCCACTGTTGGACTCGTTGAATCAGTTTCACATCAGCTCTATTTGGGGGTGGGGAGGTGGGGCTGCCAGTATTATTCCCCCTGAGTGCGCGAGAGAGAGAGGGAGGAAGCTGCAATGCTAGGGTGGAGCTCACGACAACAAAAAAGCATGTGAATCAACATCCATCTGGGTAGAATCTGATGAGTTTAGACTCATTCCTGAGAGTGTAACAGAGCATATCTGTCTTTATACATAACAAGATATGTGGATAGTGTTGCACTTTCGTTTGCCCAGCTGCAGATTGGCAAGAAGGGGAAAAATTGTTTCAGTTTATGATTTGAAAGCACTGAATGTATGAATGATTTAGTGATTTGTGCTCTGCGGCTCATGTTTATTTCTCTGCAAATATAATTACAGATGGGCCAAGTACATCTAAATAGAGAAATTACAGCAATTACCGGATGTTTGGCTCTTTCAAGTGATACAATCCCATCAGTGCTGCTCATATCACTAACGTCAGCTGCCTGCAAGATTTGGGTTCATTGCAAACTTTTCCCATAAAATGTAATATTTAGGGAATACTTTATCAGCAATAAAAATTATTGGACAAAGTTGAATGGTTTGTATAAACAAGTACGATAAGCAGAGCAATAAACAGCCAGATTAATGTCAGCGCTGTCATCATATGGCTCCACTGCCTGTCATGATCCCAGCCTTACTTAACTGACAAAATGTATGATAGAGCATATATCCTTATATTGTTGTACTGCCCGCTTTGTGACAATCTTGAATTTGATAGCACGTATTACATCGAAATGTGTCAAAATATCCTGTAAGCTCTTTGAAACTTCATTGCTGGGCAGAACACTTCAAGAACTATTTGCTATGTAAATACCAGGGGCAATCACATCACCTTGGTTCCTCTGAGAATTACAGAGGATTCATGTGGAATACACTCATCTTTTAGCAGAGAAAGGATTTTATCTAGAGGGAGGGATGCATCTCTACAAATGCATCAAAGTAAACAGGAACAGTAAATGGAAACTTACAGTAAGATGGAAACAGCAATCCCAGCAGTTTAGTATTTACTTGAATGCATGACATATTGTTGCAATGTCATCTTTGTCGGTTGTTCAAGCTGTTCTGTCTACTCACCTTTATTAAATAATACACTGGAATGTATTCATTGAGAAAGCATACCAGTGGTGATAGATATTTAATATATATATGACATCTTTCACTGAAGAAAATATCAAATTCCGTCATGAGCATACAGATGAAACATGCATATAAACGTTAATCAAAAGTCATCCATAATAATAAATAATAATAAGCCTATCACCTTTCACATTGGGAGAATGTCTCAAAGCTCTTCACAGGATTTCACCATAAAGTGTAGTGAGTATGCATTTTGTAGGCGAACATACAGCAGCAACATTGCCCCAATGCAGCATTTGTGAAGAAGCAAAATACAAGGAGGTGTGTTAATAGGCAAGATACCTGCAGAGAAAAAAAATAACAGCAGTAAATGGGCCAAAAGGCCTTCATCCAAACCTCTCTTGTGATCACTCAACCAGAATAGAAATAAGCATGTGTCCGGTCTAGGATCCTGGTACAGAGATCAAATTTTGTTCTAAAATGCCAAGACTTAGACTGGCATCAATAAAAGAATCCTTGCATTTAATATAACTCTTTTAACTTCAGGAGGATGTCTCAAAGCATTTTGCAGGATTCACTGTAAAGTGAATATGAATTTTGGAGTCAAATTACACACTGCAATGCCCCACAAACAACCATAAGTTGAATGAGCAATTTTATTTAGGAGATTATTGGCCAAGACACCAGGAAAAATGCATTTTTTGAGTAATGCCATAGGATCTTTAACATCCACCTGAACAGACAGTTCAGACCTCAGCTTAACATCTTATCTAAAAGACGGCACTACATTCTGCAGTAAATACTGTGAAGCACTTTGAGATGTTTCGCTGTTGCGAAAAGGTACTATGTTAAAAGAATCATTATTATTATCTTTCGATCCCATTTCCCCACTTTTTCTTTATATCCCTTAATACCATAACTTTCCAAGTGCCCAAGTTAGGGAGATACAACTCATCTAGGGTTTCTGATTGCTGACCTGTGACTGCCATTGGAGACATGCATATGCCAGTTAAGGAGCTGTCATGCCCCCTCCCCATAGTCAAATAGTATTCAAAACTCAGCTTTGCATGGCAAACATTGGGCATTTGGTAGAAGCAGGAGGGCACTCATGCACCCAGTAGAATGGAACAAAACAGAGCCAAACACCTTCAGGAGGGGAAGGCAGAAAGAATCAGATCCTCGTCACTAGAGACCTTCATGTTATTGGCTGATGCTGGGCGCAATTGGCTACCACATTTCACCCACCAAATATAGTCAGTTCAACTTTACAGTATATTCTGTAGACTCTTTGAGACATTTCAATGATGTAATAAGGCGCCATATCAAATGAAAGGATTATTATTATTATAATTTCTAGTTTGTATTCAGGTTGAAATGCAAATCTGCAGCCAGTTAGTTGCAATGATGCTTGTGCTTGTTTTTCAAGTATAAACCCCCATAAGTTACAATATTTTGTTTACGACTTCAGTTTACAATGTCAAAAATGGAATGACTAAAGAATATTGTCTTTTGGGGTCATTGGAATGAATAGGAACGCCAAAGCCTGTGTTACAATGGATTTGAACATCAGGTTACACCCACCTCAAGAGAATGGAAACTAGGTTTGTCCCTCGCTGACACCTGTTACGGTTCAGCTTTGCATGGGAAAATCACCTCTGGTAGTTCTGATTCAGTTCTCCTGAACTATTCAATGCGAACCGCCCCAAACTGGTTCGGAGGGGTAAAGGCTGGATTCCAGTCAGAATGGGTGGGGAACCGTGATGTGAACTGGGTGCAGTAAACAGCTGTTCATAGTTCATAGTCGGGAGTCACAAGAAGCCCGGGCTGAACACTGCAAATAATCTTCAAACCCCTGACCCAGACTTGCTCGGCAGGTGTGAAAGTAGCAAAAATATTCCACTGTCTTGAAATGGACCTTGAACGAGGGAGGAGGGAGGGAGGGAGTGATGGAGCATGGACTTAACAGGATTCATTTGTGTAAAACTGTCTTTTCTGCTGCTTGTCCAGCTTGGATCACTAAGCTGATAAGAGTTTTGGCTTGCAGTGACTGGTCTGCAACTCCAAGTCCTGCTGATGAGCCAAAAAACTGTCCACTGTGTAAAAGAGAACTGGACATAAAACACCTTTCTCAATGTTTAAAGGAACATTTATTCAAATTGTACAAAACTCTTGAAACTTTGTTACACACATTCTAACTGCCCAGCTGTTAGTTACACTAACCAAACCCCTTGAAGTTTAATTTTAAAATGTGGGTACCTGTGCCCATTTGAAATCCCAATCCTTTATCAGCTGAACGGAGCAGCTTAAAGATAACCCTTTATCAGCAGAGACAAGCTCTGTACAGTTCCCTATCAAAGGGAACCGGACAAAATCTAAAATAACTCACACAAAATTATTAAAAAAAACAATCTCTCAACATTCTTTGTTCTATTATTTTGAAAACATGTGACTTCTGAACAGAAAAGGTTTGGCTGTTTCCAAGATTGATTCACTTCCCACTGCTTTGATCCAAGCCCCATAAGTCACAGCTCAGTGGAATAATGTTAAAATATCCTGTCTTCCCCCGTCCTTCCTTAACATATTTGTTTCTCTACTTGTTCTATGTGTAGACTTTTAAGTTGAGAATCGAAGAACAAATCCCCCGTGAGTGCAATGACATTAGCAGGTAATAATAATATTCCTTGCATTTGATATAGTGCCTTATCACGTCGTTGAGATGTCTCAAATCACTTCGCAGAATATACTGTAAAGTGAATTGACGATATATTTTGTGGGTGAAACATATGACCATTTGTCCATCATTACACTTATCGCAGATTCAACAAATTTTTCTTTTGGCTTTTGACTTAATGCTCGTTGATGAAGGGGGTCAAACACTTAAAATTCCAATTACCTGCATCGCAACCTTTCTTTCTCCAGTCACCTTTTAGATGCGTACTTGAAACTACTGAAGCTCAAAGGAAATACCCAACAATGCCGTGGATATACATTAGGTGCGTTACTTCTTCACAGACTCGAAGATGATTTTCCAGAAACTAACCTTACGTAAATGAAATTGAAGTCTCACTCATTCTGCAAAGTTTATTACACAACAACATCAATACGAATCACAAACAATATCTGTGTTATAGATGAATAATGTTTTTTGGTTTTTTTTAATTACTCAAAGCTGAAAGCCATGTTCTTTAAACTTAAAACTGGAGTATTACACATCTAATGTTGGTTCCTTAATGATGCCCGAATCCAGAGGCCGTAGTAGTGACAACTTCAAATTCAATCTGGATTAAAAAATGATACAAGGGATCATTTGGGGCATGCAGGATGTATGTGGATTTTTATCACTCGGCCTTCAAGTCTTGAGTCAGCTCAATGGGATCTGCTTCAGGCTTAGCTGAGATGTCATCTGGGATCTCAGAGGGTTCTGGCTGATGTTCTAATGGTGTTTCTGTTGAAGTCTGACCAAGTAGGTCAGCATGATCTCCCACAGATTCTGATGGTTCTGTTGAGCTATGCTCAAGAATTCCAGGCTGGTTGCCAGTATATGTTGGTACACTATACTTCATCAGAATGGTTTTAAACTGTGCCAGGGTGGCATCTGTACGGATTCCTGTTGGATCAAAATGGGTACGGCTAACTCGGAATCCAACTTGTGTGAGGTAGGGCAGAAATTTGTTGATCCTGTAGGAGGGAACAAAATATAGATCAGTTTTAAAAATATATATTTCTGTGGTAGCCCAATAAAGACACTTGTAGCATTTAGTATCATATAAAAAGATAGAAAGAATTTTTCTAGCATTTTATCATATTGAAACATCTCAAAGTGCTTCACATTAATAGTCATTTGTGCCAGGAAGATCCCATAAACAGCCATAATAATAATCCTTGCATTTGATATAGCGCTTTTCACGTTGGGAGGACGTCCCAAAGCGCTTCACAGAACACACTGTAAAGTGAATTGACTGTATATTTGTGGGCGAACGCGGCAGCCAATTGCGCACAGCAATGTCCCACAAACAGTCATGGATTGAAAATGACAAATTTATTATTGTTTTGTTTTGGAGGGATTATTATTAGGCGTGTGGAGTAAGGAAACTTGCCCAAGGTTTCACCCTGACCTGCCTGGAATTGAACTCAGGTCTCTCGCTTGCAAAGCGAGTGCTCTAACCACTGAGCTACAGGACTCCATGAGTTGAATCACCATTGAATATGAAGGATTGTTGGCCCAAACCCTGAAATAAAACTCCCTCCCTCAAGTCATGAGATCTTTAATGTTTACTTGAACGGGCTCTGAGATAATAATGCTACAAACTGAGCCAGGTCGACACTATTAAGAGGTGTGGAGCAAAGGCAGGGGAATTAGGATCAAAATATTTTAATAATCTGTTTAAAGGCTGTTACTATGACAGGATCTTCCCGACTTAACTATTTATTTAAAATGGTCTAAAAGTACTTGCTGCAATTGATTAAAGTGCATTAATTCAGCACGGGAGAACATCCTCGTTCCCGATAAATATTCTTATTCCTGTTACAAATGCACTGGAAGTGATTTTCTTTTAGAGAGAAATGTTTTACAATACAGATGTGAACAATAAACAAAATGATTCTGAGAACTATGTCTGCCTATTGAGCCACGATTAACACACCAGCCAGGGCACCTCAGCAGTGAATGCTAGGGAATCACAAATGTGGTAAAGTGTGGAGTCCCGTAGCGTAGTGGTTAGCGCGCTCACCTTGCAAGTGAGAGGACCTGGGTTTGATTCCCAGGCAGGGCGAAACCTTAGGCAAGTTTCCTTACTCCACGTGCCCCTGTTTAACTAGCAGTAAGTTGGAATGTGGTTGTCAGTTGATTGGTTTGTGGGATACTGCTGTACGCCAATGACTGCTGCGTTTCGCCCCCCAAAAATATACAATCAATTCACTTTGCAGTTTATTCTGTGAAGCGCTTTGAGATGTCGCAAGGAGGTGATAAGGCGCAATATCAAATGCAAGATTATTATTATATTGTTAAAGTAGCTTTGCATAGTGCACGCTGCAGCTTTCGGTGAAGCAACATCCTCGGTAACCTTTACATTGTTGGAACTTTGGAAAATAAAATGTGTACGATACGAAGATCTGTGACAACACTCAGTGGTTTAGCAAGTAACAAGTCAGCAAAGGAGCTGGGACCCCATTAGCTCAGTGGTCTACTTTCTTGTAAAACACTGAGCCCTCCACATCAGAGGAACAATTCCAGATTTCCATGAGTGTTTCACAATGCCCCTCTGTTCTGAGCAATTTTATGTTGGGAGGGGAACAATTTGGTATTTAATTGAATTTCTTTATCTGCTTTCAATGATTTTTATTAGGACTATGGACAAGCAGACGTGCAGGGCAGAAGTCCAATAAATCTAAATTTGGTCAGTTCAAAGGCGGCTCAGCAGATTACTGCTAAATTTGGTTGAAGACTATTTTTCTGCAGTGCAAGAAACACTGATTTGTCTCTTTGGAAACTTGTAACCAAGCCAATTTTGGGGCTGGCCTCTCAAGTGGAAATAGCTATTTTAGCATTTGGGAGTTCAACTCAATGGAATATGATTAACCCCAGTCAGGCTGTGGCTCAGAATATGCGAGATTTGATTCATTGTTTCAAAAGCTAGACTTCTCAGATAGTCATTGATAGAAATGAGCCAACCAATTACACTATTTGTTAATCTGAAATAGTCAAGTCAAAATACTATGTTATAATAGTGAACTTTAAGATGTTAATCTAATTTAGTTGGTAATACTAATGACAATCCTTGCATTTGATATAGCACCTTATTACGTCTTTGAGACATCTCTAAGCGGTTCACAGAACATACTGTAAAGAGAATCGATTGTATATTTTGTGAGCAAAACCCAGCAGCCAATGTGTACAGCAGTGTCCCACAAACAGTTTTGTATTGAGTGACCAAATTATTATTTTTTTTTTGGAATGATTACCCCGGAAAGCAATCCGCCAATCGACTAACAACTGGGTTCCCTCTTGCTGCTGGGCAAACAGTGGCATATGGAGTAAGGAAACTAAGGTTTCATCCTACCCGGGAATCAAACCCGGGACCTCTTGCTTGTGAGATGAGTGCTCTAACCACTATGCTGTTGGTAGTAGTTTTGCCTCTGGTCAGAAGGTTGCGAGTTCAAGCCCAATAAAGACACTTAAGTGCAAAGTCCAGGCTGACACTTCAGCTCAGTACTGGGGGGTGGGGGGGGGAACTGAATTGTTGGAGGTGGCATCTTTCAGATGAGACACTAAACCAAAGAACTGTCTGCCTGTTCATGTGAACTTTAAATATTCCATGATTCTACTCAAGAGAATTTCTTCTGGTGACCTAGCCAACAATACTCCAGATAAATTGGTCACTCAGTTCATGGCCATTTGTGGGACTTTGCTGGCACAAATGGCTGTCTTGCTTGCTCACAAAAAGGGTCATGGACCTCAACAGTAATTACTTATGAACACTTTTGAGATGCTTCAATGCTATAAAAAAGGAACATTTTTGCTTCCTGGAAGGGAAGATAGGCAGAGGAGAAATGCTTGCTGGTAATGAAGCTTCTACTAACATTTGTGCAATTTTATTGCTGTAATACTAATGACCGTTTTAGCAACAGGATGTATAAACAGGAAATAAAACCATTCGGGTGAACCAGGGAAACTGCAAGTTCCAAGGGTAGTCTAAGAATTAAACTAGCAAAACAAATATAGAATAGGTGAGCAGGTTACCTTCACAAATCACATTTGCAGTATCTGCAGGAGGAAAACAAAACCTGGAAGAGGAATCTACAGCATTCATACTGACTGTTTGTAGATTATTAAAGCAGTCACTTTAGTGTTAAACTGATTCCGTTTGAATTTTTTGTGTGCAGTTTCAGCAGAGTGGTGCCAGTTTTGAAAGATTAGAAATCACGTTAGATTGCTCCCTGATGTTTGTGCCAAGCTTTGAGCAGGAAGCCTAAGTTGGAGATGCATTTAGTATTTCAAAAGAAGGAATTAGACCCAATGTCTTTTAAACTGACTCATAAATAGAGAAACCAAAATTCACGTTACCCAGTTTCAATCTGAGCTGAGACTGGTGGCCAGGTGCTTCCTTCCTCAGAGGGAAATGCAAAGAGTCAGTGCAGAACTCCTGAGGCTTTTTGAATTATTTGGAAACCTACTTGATTTTCTTTGGAACTAAGGAGGATTGAGGGCTAAGCCGACTGAACACTTTAAAATAATAAAGGGAATTGACAAGCCAGCTAGTGGACTATACCTCCTTTTGGTAGAGAGATCCAAAACAAGGGGACATAAAATTACAGCTAGGATGGTTAGAAGTGAGATCAGAAGGCATGTATTCACACAGAGGATTGCGAGAATGTGGAATACACTGCCCGAAGGCAGTAGAGATAAAATTAACAGGGTTGTTTAAAAGTGAGTTTTAAATTTTAGAATTAAAGGGGTATAGGCAAAAAGTGGGTACAGGAATTAAAATATCTGCCATGATCTAATAAATTGGCAGACCCAATAGCCTTTCCCTGTTCCTAAATTCCCTGTGTTCCGAATTGTGGACATGGTATAGAGATGCAAGTAAGGCAAGGGAAGAAAAAGCTCACAAGCTCACAACCTTTAAGTGTTCTCGAGTTTGTGGAGTAATCACATAGTTTCATTATGAATTACTACACTTTGGTGTTTTAACAAGGTTTAACCAAGGCCATCACGAATCTCAGAAGGAGATTCAAATGTTCAGAAAAATGAATAGAAATACTGGGGTCTACTAAGCAATTTTGCAAACCAGATTTGTTGCGTTATTTGACACTTGGAGTTTGTAAAGATTGGAGGACCGTTTAAGTTTCGATATTGGTAAAAAGGCGAATTACAAATCACAAAAGCTGGCCTTAAGCCTCATCACCCAAGCTTGACTAGACCAGCAAGACCTTAACCTATGACTGAGTCAGAAAAGAATCCACTGCTGTCCTTACTTTGGGATGTTCATTCCTCGAATACTGTGCCGATGGATGCTGTAATAAAAGGGAGGATGCTCTATGGGAATATCATTTTTCTGCCGTTTTGCTGAGTTCCTAGATACGTTACCACCCTTTCTTTTGCCTGCCAAAATGAAAAACAAAAGGGAACAATGTTCACTAGTTATAAGAATAGTTAATAGATCACAGACACTGAGACACACTCACAGACTTGACAGTGCAACTGATAAATTTGGTGCTGATTAACTTTTAGCCAAATCATCTTTCTCAATTTGCTCTAATACATTGAATTAATTTATAAATGGCAAGTGACTAAGGCTGAAGTATTTACACTAATTATTATTAACATGCTGAGCTTGTATAATCACAATAGCTTTCCAGTTGAATGCACAGTTTGGTGTCCCAACATTATGATGTGGCACTGGAGCACTATGTGTGATTTTAGACAGAGCACAAGTTTAAAATTAATTTAAAAAGGGCAAAGTAAGAAAAAATATTTGGTTTCATTAGTGGAACAAACACTAAGATAATATTACATAGAATTTACAGTACTGAAACAGGGCCATTCAGCTTAACTCGTCCGTATCTGTGTTTATATTCCCCTTGAACCTTCACCCTTCCTACAATTGTTAACCTATATATACACAGTAAATACACTTTACAGTAAATGCTGTGAAGCGCTATAAAATGTCCTGATGATGTTAGCTCAGCCAGAAGGAACCCATTTACAACCCCACCCTACCCTAGTTGGTATTAGACATCCGACAAGTGCAGGGTCAGACATCCGACAGGTGGATAGGAAGTACCAGGAATACTATGTAAGCCTCTTAACACAAACCAGCATGAAATACCCGAGAGCATCACCATGATCCTCCTGCCTACAGCTCGGGGACACACCCTTACAAACACCCCTAACTACTGAGCAATAGTTCCATTAGTCGGAAGTACGTAAGTATAGCTTATAGTTGCTTACCTCTCTACACACCAATTCTTATCAGCCTCTGTGTGTGCAAATGCTGCTCATTTTATCAACAGATTTTATTCAATAAAATTAATTCTTACCATGCACAGAATATTTCTCTCTGCCACTGCCTTCACTTCCAAATTTAGGAGGGGTTAAGGTTTTGATCACAACCCCACTTTCCTCTAGAGGGGCAAAAAAAGAGGCATAAAAATACAGTAACATTTTTAAAAAATGTAATAGCATTCACATGTTGAATCCCTTTGACTCCCCCCTCTCTACCCACTTTCAAAGCTAGCCTCAAGACTTTCATTTTGGGCCACACCTTAGGTGTTCTTTCTCACCCTCCCCTCCTGCATTTCAGTTGCTCATCTTTCAAGATACCCTCCCGACACGGAAGTACCATGTAAATGTAAATTGTATTGTATCTCAGTTGGGCGTTAGAATTGGCTTGAGTGACCCTGGAGTATGAAGGGGAAAATCAACCCCGCTTAACTGTGCCTGGTGTGGACCTCAGAACATGGAGGATTCAAACAAATGTTCCAAAATCCACCCAATGTAAATCACTGAATTTATCAATTAATAATTGATAGTCTATCACAAGGAAATAAAGTCCAACCCCATTTTAGCTAACTGTGGGCGTTCAGTACACTGCAGGTACAGATTTAACACAGAGACAAATTTGTTCCCTCACTACACTTTACAATTAATCCTGTGAAGCGCTTTGAGTTGTTCAGATAACTGATAATAATAATAATGATAATAATCCTTGCATTTGATATAGCGCTTTTCACGTCGGGAGGACGTCCCAAAGCGCTTCACAGAACACACTGTAAAGTGAATTGACTGTATATTTGCGGCAGCCAATTGCGCACAGCAATGTCCCACAAACAGTCGTAGATTGAAAATGACCAATTTTTATTATTGTTTTTGGTTTTGGAGGGATTATTATTAGGCTCTGTGTGGGGTAAGGAAACTTGCCCAAGGTTTCGCCCTGACCTGCCTGGAATTGAACTCAGGTCTCTCGCTTGCAAAGCGAGTGTTCTAACCACTGAGATACAGGACTCCACAAGGATCAGTATCAAATACAAAGATTAAAAGCCTGCAGTATACTGAAGTGTGGTTTATTTCCAGCCTCTGATGCTGAGTTGATGGCTTCCTCTCACTGCATGGAAGCACATAGGGGCTCGGATATGTGATCAACAGCGACCTTGGTGACCCTTGAAGTGCCGACAGGCCACACTACAACATTTACCTGAACCCCCAGGTCTCTCTGTTCCTTCACCACCCCTTAAGATTGTATTACCAGCCTATATTGCCTCCCCTCATTCTTTCTACCAAAATACATTACCTTGCATTTTTTCATATTGAAACTCATCTGCCATGTGTCTGCCCATTTTACCATTCTGTCTATGTCTTCCTGCAGTTGGCACCTATCCTTCTCACTGTTTACTACCCTACCTAACTTTGTGCTCAGTAAATATTTTAATTGCCGATGTCACGATTCATCGAGCAAAATACTTCAAATCTTTTTAAAAGGTTGGGATTTGCGAACATTACTAAACCCAATGTCTCGGAGCACACTGACCTTGGCTGCTGTGGCTCATTGGTCCAAATATTGAATAGTGTTTCAGTGTTGTGCATTCAGATTCACAGATCAGATTCTTTAGCAAAGGCTGGATGTCATCAATCCCGTGCTGGACACTCTCAAACAGCATCCGCCGCAAGAAACCGGGGTTAAACAAAGGCCCTGCCCTGGAAATCGAAGAGAATAATTTTCATGGGTGGGTTGGATAAAAATTTAACATTTTAAAATACATTGTAATGGAAGATTTGAAGACATAATAAGAATAATCTTTGCACTTGATATACCACCTTATCACGTCATTGAGATGTCTCAAAGCGCTTCACAGATATACTGTAAAGTGTATTGACTGTATTTTTTGGGCAAAACGCGGCAGCCAATTGCACACAGCAGAGTCCCACAAACAGTCGTGCATTGAATAACCAAATGATTTTTTTGAGGGATTACCACCCCTGGAAAACAATCCACCAATCGACTAACAACCAGGTTCCTAATAACTGCTCAGTAAACAGAGGCGTGAGGAAAATTGCCTGAGGTTCCGTGCCCAGCAGGCCATACTGAAGAAGCTAGTTGGGCCAAGTGGCTTGTTTATGTGCTGTACATTCTTTGTAAATCTTTGTGAATTTCCAAGCTGCACAACTACATTTTTTTGTAAAGCGAGTCTATTATAATTTACTGGGCAAGGATCATTGCTCATAATGTACTTTTTTAAGTGCTTGGACTCAATACCTGAACAGGGATCTATGTGCACCAGGGAGTTCACCACTTGAAGACAATGTAGAAGCTTTCCCATATTGATGCTCATAATTTGGATTCAACCTGCAATGTAAACAGGGCGGATTCACACAGCCTCAGGGTACTTCAGAACTGGTTCTATTGGAAATGACAATACGCCCTGTGCTGCTATTGCCTCTAGAAAGGGCTGCCATTACTTCCTGGATCTTCAACCCACCCCAGAGACCACAGACCTTGTGAGAGCTTGGTTACTGATCCTTCCTGCTGCCTCACTAGATTTTCCCCACCGCTAACCTCACTACCTCACTAACTTTCCCCCCAAAAGATTGAGGAAGTTCCCAAACAGGCAGTTAAAATGATTGTCCTCCCTTTGTCACTGTGAATGGTTTGGATTCTGCCCAGTAAACAGGGCATACAGATGCTTCAGAGATCTATTTAAAGCAATTCTAAAATATACTCAAAGAGAAATGGGCCATTAATTTCTTTAATCATGTTACTGTGCCTCATCTTCTTTTCTCTAATGAGAAAGGTCAAGATCTGTAATACTTTCTTCAAAGTTCAATGATCAATGACCCCTAACAGTTCTCATTGCTTTGTAGTTATAACATAAACGGTTCCTGGCTTGCATCATCGTTTCAGGGTAAAGCCCTTATTTATAAATACCACTGCAAATCCTTTAGCTACTTGCTTTAGCGCTGGCCTACAAAATATACAGTCATAGGACCTTATGAACAGGAGCAGGCTATTCAGTCCCTCAAGCCCGTTCTGGTATTCTGTTCAATCATGGCTGATCCTTTAACAGTTCGTACTACCTGTGGGGTGTAAATGACCGAAGCAATACCATGCAAACAAAGGCAACATTCTAACAAACATCAGTCTCCATTTAAACGAGTTTGCAGGTTCCCTGGTCATGTCACCACCACCACACCTCAAATCAATTTACCCGCTCTTATTCCATATCCCTTGATACCCTTACCTAACAAAAATCTATTGACACTAGTCACTACATTTTAGAGTAAATCCTGTGACGTCCTCCTGAAGTAAAAAGTGCTATGTCAAATGCAAGGATTTTGTTTAACTACTACAAAGTTGCACCACTTTGCAACTAGCAACAGAAAGCTTTAAGAACTCAAACATCATATCGTTCAGCTCAGGAGCAGTAGGTGGTAGGGGCAGAAGATAGAAGCATTTCTGTAAAGAGCAGTGGCTTGGAATCCCTAAGTTGTCGTGGCAACTTCACAAACGTAGAGCTGCCTTCATAAACCAGCACCAATAAATAAAGACAGCTTGAGATGGACAGAGTGGGAGCGATTGTTGACAGTCTGCACAGCTGAATCGGCTTCCACCAGCCAAACCTGCAGTGTTTGTTTCTGCAGAAATTCAACATCTCTTCAGAGCTTTTCCTGCTTTGCTGGTAGCTGGTGTCACATTATAGCCTTTAGTGCTAACTTTTTAATATCTTGAAAGGATTAAAGCAGAAGAGTGGGTTCAGTAACAGGTTTTATACGTCTGAGCTTGGGCTCATTAGACCCACAGATTTAGCTGAAATTACTTTTCTTAGCCAGCTTTAGGAATCCAAAGTGAAAGGATATTGGACAGATTCATCCCACTCTTACTGCAGGGCAACAGGACAAAACGCTACTTATAAAGTCAGCTGAAATGGAAACCTTTGGAGTGGTTGTAAGGAATGAATTTGGCAAGTGGAAACGCCACCCTCGAGAGTGTCTTTTCGAGGGTTTGGTTGAAAATTATTGCTGGAGCAGCGGAGAAATGGTCTTTCTGAAACAGAGAGGCAAATGTTCCATTGCTCGGCACTGTCAATGTGATAAGCATGCAACCATTCGGGCCGCTCTGCCAAATCCTTTGACTGCAAGAAACAAAACATACCACAATGGTCCAAGTTCCACTGCTGTCTTTCCTGGCATACTTCCATGGCAGTCACATGGCAGCTGACGGTATGTGTTCTCTGGGAGGAAAGCAGATTGTTTAAATCAGGTTGGAAACAGACTGCTGGTTTGTTAGCAGACAAAAAGCACTGTTGAATTTCCTTCAACAGACTGGTCACATTGTTTATCGACTACAATTTTGATTCAAAGAGCAAGCGGTCATAAGACCATAATCAAATAAGATGTCTTTATGAATCAGAAATCCTTGGATAAGATCATAACACATTATTAAGGCATTTGTTTTTAAGTGAATGCAGTCTGAGAGATTGAACAGATATTTATTGGAAATAGCTCTGGAGCTAATATACAGCGGCAGCACCAGTCTCCACTAACCATTCTGAGCAATGGGTTCTGGCACTGATAAATTTGCTCATTGCAATGGAAACAATAACTCTCTGTATTGCGGTGTATCCTTCAGTTTATCCACAATCATAATTATTATGTAATGCTGACCTTAAAAGATATCCCACTGGGTTTTTAATCACTCGTCTGATAATTCGACAGAGGACATTTCAAATAATGAGAAACCTTATGACACATTGTTCAATGCTTTATTTGGTTGGGACAATGTACGAGTTGCCCTTCAGACTCAAACATCAATACCACTCTAACAACTACAAAAGCTCAGTATTTACACTGTGTGCTGAGTTCAGAAAATGAAGAGCTGCCAAACATGGCTGTTCTCCGTTATAATTTACACCCCCAAAAAAATCTACCTTGGAATAAATTTGCTGATCTCTGTCAGGGTGCAGCCAGGGGCAACCCTTTTGGGGGAGGAATGGGGAGGGGTAGAGAATTAAAAAAGAGCTCCTGCTCCTGGTAGCTATACAGAAAATCCTGCTGGATATGTGGATGTATGTGATTGATGCTCGTTCCACAATCAAGTGATGAGCAGACACAGTCAAGGCTCAAATACAAATAACGATCACTTGGCTGACCACCTCAAGGTGCCAGAGAAACAGTGTTTTAGTGGAAGGAAAAAAATAGTCAAACTCCTTCAGCAGAAATGAACACTGGTAAGAGGGGAAAAAATGCCACACAATATCCCTGAAGGAGATGGGGATTCTCATGGAATAGATGCCAATAGTGTAGTGCTAGATTTCTGACACAGTCTGAATTTAATGTTTCCATGTCTCACTGATGGCATGTGATGGCCGAACAGCTACTGTTACATTATAATACCAATTGAACTTTCAGGAGAGGAGGAGAGACTATCATTAGGTGAATATTGGGTGGAAGATGGAAAGGACTCCATAGAGGGTGGGGGGGGGGCGGTGCTTCTGAGACTTTTCGTTTCTACATGTTCATGCACAAGTCTTTCTGAAATAGTGGAGGCCTTGAATGTTTGATACTGTGTGGTTCTGAACCACAAATGACTACTAGCATTCCATCAAGGCAACGCTAACTGCCTCGGGACGTCCCGACATGAAAGGCGCTATACAAATGTAATCTTGTTGTTGTTTTAATTCAGTGCAAGCAAACACATTTAGAGCACAATGAGAAAAAACAGGGGAACAGATGCACGTTTTAATAAAATCCAATGTTGCTACTTGGACTTTTGGGAAACTCAATGTAAGATTCCTATCCAACTGTACTGCTGGCATTTCTTCCCCCCTCAGAGGTTGTGGTGGGTGAGTGAAGAAAATGCTCATAATACAATAATACAAGAAACCAGTTCGAAATGTCCTCTTGGTGTAGTCTTACCTTCCACCATGTGACACTCTTTCTGGAAGACACGCTCTTCACACCACTGACAATGGATCAGGCGCCGGATTTTCTTCAGGCTATCGTCTGCCTGGGAGGGGCCTCGAAGCACCCTTACGACCACAAGAACAAAGTGCTCCAGAGCTACAGCAAACAAAACTTCAATGCCCTTATTACAGCGTGCAGCAGCCCTGCAAGAAAACGTCACACAGAGTAATCAGACTACAATACCGTTACACAAGGCTTTGGAATATGATAGTTATATACATATGAGGTACTATAAGAGTAGGATAATAATCTTGAACCACGTGGCACAACGTGGCAGTCTAACACTGGGTTGGCACAGATCCAGCTGTAGTCCATCATCCTGCACACCCTATAAAACACTGAGGCAACCACGAGGGCTCATGTAACACATCAGGCTGCAGGATCAGGATGTATAATGAGCGCGTGTACATGTGCCACAACACTTGGAAGGTGAAGGATACTCTGGGTCAATGGGTATAGAAGCATGAGATCCAAGTAGACTTTAGACACAGGTCAAGTATTAAAAGAAAAGGAAAACTGCAATAAGATGAATGGTTCATCAGTCTGTGTTTTGGTAAAATTGGATGAGACACGAATATTGGCCAGGAAACTGGGGAAACCCACTGCTGTGATCTTAACTGCCATGGTTACTTAGATCAAACTATGAAGAAATATGCAAGCGAGTTGGTGGAAATCAACCTAAAGGCACAAAATGCTAATGGAAATAATAAATTTATTTCTATGCACATACAATAAAGTAGGTTAGATTCACAAAGGAAAATGAGCTGATGGGAGCAAAAACTGGATTAGAGACTTCAATTTAATTAAGCATGACCTAATTAAATAGGAGATTTAAATACGGAATTGTTAATTTGACATTACCCAGTGGAGGAATTGCATTATGAGATACTGTGAAATGAAGGGCATTTTGAACTCAATACATTGCTTAAAGGCTGTTAGCATATCAAACACAAAAGTGTGCCTGGCAGGAATGGAACCAGATTTGAGTCTAATGCAAAACTGGTTATGAAGGGTACTTAGGCAGCTACTATAAAAGCAGCAAATTAACTTCAAAGTGGACATCAAGAACATCAATCCATTCCTACGATACTAAGTGTAAGCATGCTATGTGCTGTGCGCAATTGGCTGCGCATTTCACCCACAAAATATACGGTCAATTCACTTTATACTTTGGGACATCTCGAAGACGTGATAAAGCGCTATATCAAATGCAAGGATTATTATTATTATGTTTCTCCATGTGATCAGTAAAATGTTTTTCTGTTTTTTCTTTGTCCCATCTGCGTACTGACCTTGACCGTGTACAGAGAGGGAGTTGAAGGGAGAAACAAGAGTTTACTACAGACAAATTCTGACTCTAGCCTACAGGTCAAAGAGCAGCGCAGAGAGGCTCTGACTATATTGTCTTAGATCTCTTTGGTATGGATACAGGTAGCAGAATGCCGAACATAGGGTTACAAATGGAATTTTATTGCACAAAAATCACCATCTGGACTTTAAAGAAAATCGATTGCTTTTAATAAGCATCTTGCAACAGGAAGATGGAATTCTTTCTAATGATTGTGAACCAAAGCGTTGCCCACAAGACTACACCAGGACCTTGACATCCTGCTCTCAGGACACCTGTACGTGCATATTGATGGTACAGTCAGGCAGAGAACCAGGCACTCTTTTAGTTCCAAGTCAAGCAGATGAGGGTCCTATTGTGACTCACTGTTTAACTCCTGGCTTTTAACAATGAATCCTTCTTTACTAAATTGGATGAGAGTCTGGGCTTTTCATTGTTGGTAAAAAAAATTCTGTTTTAGTAAAATTAAAACTTCCTCCCACCTTCCAAGACAGTGGGAGACGTTTAGGAAAAGGAAGGTAAGAAACAAGTTTCAAAGTTAAAACTGGTTGGGTAACCAAGATCAGAATGAATACAGGGCAACAGCAAAAGAAAAAATAAAGTTAAAACTAGGCAGGGAATTGAGGAGGACAAAAGTGGCAGGGAAAAGAATGTCAGCAGAGATGAAGATTTTATAATTTGTCAAATGTATTTTAGCAGGTTTGAGGTAATACTGTTGTAATGAAGCTGCCTATTTGAGCAGTGTATTTAGTGTAATATGATTGTTTATTTCACATTTTTCATTCACATTTTCAAGAATGAGGTGGATAGATATCTGTTAGATCAGGGCATCAAGGGATACGGGGCAAGGGCGAGAGATTGGAGTTGATGTACAGATCAGCCAAGATCTTATAGAATGGTGGAACAGTCTTGAGTGGCTGAATGGCCAACTCCTGTTTCAATGTTTCTATTTCAGGATTAATGTTTGAGCTGAAAACATTTACAACAGGCAGTCCCCGTGGTGACGGGGATAATTGCAGGCCTGCCAACAAACTCAGGGTTAAAACAAATGCACTGCTGGCAAGTCCAATGTGTTGTATATGAGCTAATCTTACATCAGAACAGTCCAATGAAGAAAACATTTATATAGGAAATAGTTTGCTATTAACAGGGAATTTAGTAACTAAAATTTTAGAGAAACACATTGATTATATCTTTTCCAATGCAAAATGACAGAGCTACATAATAGACATTTTCATAGAATCATAGAATTATACAGCACAGAAGGAGGCTATTCGGCCCATTGTGTCTGTGCCAACTCTTTAAAAAGAGCTATCCAAATCAATCCCATTCCTCCGCTTTCTCCCCATAGCCCTGCAGACTTGATTTTATATTAAATTTTATATTAAATTTATATCAGATTATATGAATGCAATTTGTACTAACATTCTATACTTATTAATAAGACATGAACAGAAAAGTACCTTGCCACAGAAGCAATGATCATTCTGGCTGCCATTTCCTTATAGTACTCAGTCCGGACAATGTTGCAGCCATAATGGCGCATGGTGACATTCAAGGCTTTACAGTACAACGAGCTAACGTCTGTGGATGTAACAGACACTATCCCGAGATTCCTCACATTTCTAAAGGCAGCACCAACGTAATTTACCGCTGTTCCAAATGGGTCCAGGTGTCTATGTCAAAACAGGAAAAAAAAATCACATGCAGAAAATAGACAAGTATTTAAGCTTCCATCATTTCCTATTTGTTCTCACCATTTGACCACTATCAGTGAGCCGGAACCGTTTCTGTGTGCGAGTCTGCAGGGGCTATTCTCCCCTCTTCCTCCATAAATGAGGGATGGAAAGTTTCGAGGGCGTTTGGTTCAAACAAAGCAGCAAGTTCAAATCCCAGCCTCAACCATGATTTGAACTTACCCATAACACAATGTGCCACCTCTGAACTTAAATCTATATTCTGGGAGCTCTTAAACGCTGCAGAATTGAGATAACAATAATAATCCTTTCATTTGATATAGCACCTTATCACGTCTTCTAGACGTCTCAAAGCACTTCACAGAATATACTGTAAAGTGAATTGACTGTGTATTTTGTGGGCGAAACACGGCAGCCAATCCGCTCAGCAGTGTCCCACAAACAGTCGTGGAATTGAGTGACCAAATTATTATTTTTTTACAGATAAACTATAAAGATAAATTGTGAAAAATAGAATCCCATCCAATTCTGCCATAACGTTTCAGCTCCTTTACTTTTTGGAATTTTGCTTTGCGCTACTTGTACCAGCAATCAAATGCTCTCAACTTGCCTTCAGTAACTGCAAACAGACAACATGTGCCTGCAAGAAAATGCTGTTAAAATTTTACCGTTTAGCTACAACTACATTGCCTCCAAAACAATTGTGATTTAGAATCAAAGAACGTTAACGGTACAGAAGCCCATTCAACCCACTGTGTCAATACCATCTCCTCTAATTCTATTCCCCTACACTTTCCCAGTGTTCTTTCATTTTATTTTTTACACAAGACCCACCAAATGGTACTGTTTTGGAAACAAAATCAATGCAACATTTGCTGCAGGTTTCCCAGACATTCTTAACTTACACTAGTGACAATTTACATCCCTCTCCAGACTTTGCTGGATAGTCTTTAGATAGTTCACCATTCCAAACAATGATCAAATCAGCATTTGAAACTTAATTTTGATTTGACAATGCATCTAGTTAATGAATTTTTTTTTGGAACAATCATCTTTGTTTAAACTGAATCACATATGTAACCTTCAAATAATCCTGATGTGCTCAGCAGGTTAATGGAGAACTAACTAATCCCATTGTCCAAATTTCTGTTGACTTGTTTTGTTGTAGCACTTTTTGGTTTGGTTTGTTACCAAGTACCTTAGAATTCCAGGGTGCTCCTGTTACAGAAACACTGCACGTGTTTCATAAACACTTATCGACAGAGCCAACATTTATTGTTTGAAATACTTAAAAGTATTGGAAGTTGATTTCTATTATAAAGTCCTGGGGTCCTGTATAAAATCTAAGAACTATTTTCAAAGGATTATAATAATCCTTACATTTAATATTGCATCTTTCATGTTGGGATGACCTCTTCAAGCATTTCATTATGAAGTGTAGTGACCTGGTATTTTATAGATAAACGTGGCAGACAACTTGTGCACAGCAATGTCTCACAAACAGGGATTAAATGATTGACCAATTTTATTTGGGGATTGCCGGCCAGAAACAAGACACTAGGAGAAACTGCTTTTTCGTTTCGAATAGTTCCATGGTATCTTTAATATCCACCTGAATAGGCAGACGGAAACCCGGTTTAACATCTCATCCGAAGGATCGACGCTTGGAAAAAAAAATGTAATTTTTGCAGTAAAAACAGATTGTAATACAAATGTTGCACTCACATGAAGTCAAACGCTCTCAAGTGCATGAGAACGTTGGCATCCATTTGGGTGACTTCAATGGTCCCCGCGGGCTCCTCGGTTTCCTCAATCTCATCTTCATCCTCCTCATCTTCCTCCTTTCCAGTCATTAGCACCTTCATTCTATTCAGATGGCAATTCTCCTGGATCATCTTCACCGAGCCCTCGCTGAAATCGTTTATGGTGACTTTCACTGCATCCCCAAGGTGCTTAGCCCACTGCAACCCCATGATTCCTGCAGGAAGAGCACATTCATCCAGCTAAGTTTTCCGAACAATTAATAATAGCAATCCTTGCATTTGATATAATGTCTTTCATGTCAGGAGGCCATCTCAAAGTGCTCCATAGGATTTACTACAAAGTGTAGAGACTGTGTATTTTCTCGGCGAGTGTGGCAGGCAATTTGCACACAGCAATGCCGCACAAACAGTCATGAAGTGAATGATCAATTTTATTTCGGGGATGGTCAGCCAGCATACTGTGAAATACTCCCTTCTCTTTTTGAATAGTTCCAAGGGATCTTTAACAGGCAATCGAGATCTCAGTTTAACGTTTCACCTGAAAGACAGAACACCCCCACGCTAGCCTGGAACATTAATAATCCTTGCATTTGATATAGTGTCTTTCATATTGGGAGGACACGTCAAAGCCTTAACAGGATTTCCTGCAAAATGTAGTGACTGTGTATTTTATAGAGCGGGCCAGCTAATTTGCGCGCAGCAATATCCCACAAACAGCCAAGTGAATGACCAATTTTATCTGGGGAATTGTTGGCCAGGACACCCCGAGAGAAACTCTAATTGACTACCCATTCTGCACAATGCAAAACTTCCCACTCTCTCATACATCAAAACCACTTCCACTTCCTTTATCGATCCCAATGTGGCCCTTAACCGCTAATCTGGCTTCTCTTTCCTCTTTCTTTCTTGTGCATTCTTTGCAAGGATTATTAATAATAATAAAAATTAAAAGATAGGATTGCTTCAGCCAGGTATAGGAAGACAAGGAAAAACGAAATAGCATGTTCATTGTTCACATAATATGGTTTCATCAGAGGCCTGGGAGCAGATCACATGCCTAACATCTCAGAGGAGCACGGTGGTAGGTATGGGGAAACGTTAGAGTAGAAAGGTAGGCAGAACGACATTTAAGGAACCTCTCTCTATTCACGCCAGAAGGAACAACTGGAAATAATATGTAACTTGTGGAAAACCTTTCACGAACCTGTGGCTCCAAAGGCATCTAAACACTCCAGTGGTTTGCGTTCCTGTGCCAGCACAGCGAGCGTACAGAATATTAACTGTCTGCAAATTAACAAACAGAACAGCAAGTTAGCAACATTTCAAGCAGCTTAGAGCTTTAAAATACTTCACTGGTGAGAGGTGTTAGAAAACAAATAAGGAGAAGAGAAAGGTCTGTCATCAGCTGGAAAGGAACATTTTTGGATAGAAATGTATCCTCAGTAAGATCATTCTAAAGGCATGCCACTTATTGCGTACCAGAGCATGAAATTGTAATGAAATCACTGCATCACCATGAATATTCAGTAAATGCAACTTTGGAATATAAAAGTAGGTAATTATCCTGTTGTATAGAGTGCTATTCTAACCTCATTTATAGTGTTCGGTTTTGGGCCCTCAGTTTGGAGGGTATCCAGCCACGGTCTTGGTAAACTGGAGTTATACTCCCTAGACCAGAGGAGGCTAAAGGGTGATTTGACTGAAGTATTTCAAATAATCAAAGGGATTGATGGGGTGAATGGCCTTCGACTTTTCCTGCTTATCTATCTTCCTAGGGAACAATAAGGACAATGTCACATGTACTATAGATCAGGAGAATGTACCACAAATCAGCCATTTCTTCACGGAAGAATATAACGGAAAGCAACTGCCCGATAACTCATCAGGAATATCCGGAGAGATTTTAATAGAATGTGTGAATCCGACACATCACCTGTTAGATTTCATTTTGGGGTTAAAGAAAGAGTCTGTTTTCTGAGGAGTGGTGTAGTTTGGAAAAACATGTACATCAGTGTCAACCTCTTTCATCACTTCAGTAGATGACTGATTCCCACTAGTGGCTGAAACAGAGAAAAACAGCAGATTCAATCATTAAAATATACAATCCCAGAAACTAATCTTAACTTCCAGATCCCAATATATCCCTTTATTAAAATCTTTATTTTAAATATCTTACGTTACGATATACCTTTGGGGAATACAGTTTGAGTCAATGGTTCACGTGAACCAATTCATCGTTTTCATCACATTTCGTATTTTTACTCTCTTCTACTGAAGGCTTTTGACGGATTTTCATGTAGTCCTACCCACTTATCTCAAACTGGTTTATGTTGACATCTCGCGTATATCAACAAAAAAGTGAAGTCCCACATTAATACTAAAAAAAACTTACCGTCTACATCGACGTCTAAATAAACTCCAGCACACTTATGTCAACAAATTGCTAACGTTATTAAAAGCATTGTTTTGTTACCACTTATGTCGACAGTACACTCTTGAATGCCTACTTTTTACTTGCTTAGTTATTTTTGTAAATAAATGAACAATTTTTTTGTAAATACGGGAAATGAAAATATATGTAAATAAATAATTTGTAAATTTTAATTATATGTATTATTTTTTAAAAATATCTATGAAAATTCATGAAAATACATGGATCAAAAATTTTAATCACAGAATAGCTATTATCTGCTTGCGACTGCCTATGCCAACAAACCATTTATGTTGACAAAATGGTCGACATAAGTGAGTAGAACTGTACTGCGCATGATTTTCCATGACGGTCATCCTCTTGTACCTCGGTCAAGAACCCTGTGTGAACCTCGACAGCGAGCTTTGACAGAATATACACTGGGGGAGGCAGGGTTAGAGAAGGGAAGAATCATCACAGCTAAGCTCAATATCTACACACACTGGCGGTCACTGGTTTGTAATCAGGTGCAGGAAAACGGGCTGATTTTCCCGTCAAACCAAGGGGGAATGGAGGACACTGCCGTCGCAGAAACCAACTAATACATTGAACAGGATTCAATCCTGCCACCTTCTGTATTGCTTAATGTAGCAATTATAGAAAAAAATTATTTGAATCCCAATTTCCAATTGTCCCCAATCTGCTCCACAGTGGGACCAGAAGATCTACCTCCAGTGAAGCTGGCTTCTGTGTCTCCATTCTTCATGTGCCGCTTGATGTGGCTGATCATGTCAGTCCTGCGTGCAATGGTGGCTGAGCAGACAATGCAGTGGTAATGCGCTCCTAGCCTCACTGGGGTCTGAAAGCATCAAATATTCCTATTAAAACAAAAACCCCAGCAGTAAGATTCTAACTTTCTTATCTGTTCCTTATAATAAATAACAATTCTTACATTTGATATAGTGCCTTATCATGTCTTTGAGATGTCTCAAAACGCTTCACAGAACATACTGCGAAGTAAATTAACTGTATATTTTGTGGGCGAAACGCGCAGCCAATTGTGCACCACAGTGTCCCACAAACAGTCATGGATTGAGTTACCGATTTATTATTATTAAAAAAGAAGGAATTATTACCCCCGGAAAAGCGATCCACCAATCGACTAACATCCGGGTTCCTACTTACTGCTAGGTAAACAAAGGTGTGTGGTGTACGGAAACCTGCCCAACGTTTCGCCCTGCCAGGAATCGAACCCAGGTCTCTCGCTTGCGAGACAAGTGCTCTAACCACTAATTGGGGAACATATTTAGAGACCAGGTTCAGATTAATAAAAGTCTTTTCTCATGGAGAGCAGCTGAAGAGTCAGCACTCAAGATTGAGACCACTGATTGAAATTTCCTTTCAAAAAATTAGAAATTAACCAATAAATACTACAATTAAAGATGCTCTGGTAAGCTATTATGGGGGAGAAGGTGGAGCGTTAATAACAATAGTAACAATCCTTACATTTGATACAGCGCCTTTCACATCGGCAGGATGTCTTAAAATGCTTCACAAGATTTATTGTAAAATGATGACTGTGTATATTTTGTGGGTGAACGCAGCAGCCAATTTGCACACGGCACTGTCTCACAAATAGCCATGAAGTGAATGACCAATTTTATTCAGGGGAATGTTAGCAAGGAAACTGGGAGAAAATCCCTTCTCTTTTCAAACAGTTGCATGGGATCTTTAACATCCACCTGAATAGGCAGAGGAGAACTTAGTTTAACATCTCATCCAAAGAATGGCACCACAAACAATGCAGTGCACTTCCAACAATGCAGCACACCCCCAGCACTGCATTGGGAGTGTCAGTCTTGACTTTAGGAGTATTATTATCTAGGTGTGGGATAATAATACCCTGAGAGTTTGCAAAGGAACAAAGGGAGAGATCCAAGAGAGAGCAAAGCAACACCCAAAAGGCAAAATAGTTGGCAATATCATGTCTTACAAGACTGTTTGAACATTATCTTACAGTAGTAATCTTAAAATAAAGGTGCCAGCTTGGAGGCCCACCCAGCACTGTGAAGCGCTTTGAGGTGTCCTCAGATTGTAAAAGGCTCCAAATAAATGTAACTTGTATTGTTTAGCGCCTCTCACGTCGGAACGATGTGTCAAAGCACTTCACAGGATTTACTCTAATTGGTAATGACTGTGAATTCAAACAATTTTATACATATCACGTTTATTTTGCCATTACCTGTTCCCCATTGAGACTGGTTTTCATTGGCCGACAGGTTAAGTGACAGATGCACATTCTGCACCCTGTTAAGAAAATTTACACAATTTATAGAAATGCAGTCGTACAATATTTATAGAACTTTAGTTTGATTAATATATTTTAGGGCTGCTTTTTAAATGATTTGGTTCTCCGTTCCAAAAAGCTGGAGAACAGTAGTGTTTCTACTCATTTTGCACCTATGTGAAAAGCAGTTACCACATTTTACTGGCACAAGCAAGGTCCAGGTCAGCAACAGTGCTGTGAACAACTTCCTTTGCCAATTTTCTCCCCCTTATCACGTTGTTGATTCTTCTCAAAGCGCTTCACAGAATATACTGTAAAGTGATTTGTCTGTATTGACCATTTTCTGTGAGCCTATTTAATGACAGGATCCATTAAAAATGCAATCTAAGCTACAAAGTCACCATTTTAGTGTGAGAAAGCTATGAGAATGAAGTTGGCTGTCTTGCTGGCAAGCGCTAGCTATTTGAACGTTTTCTTCACATATTCCTTCAAGCGATGCCACCAATGATTATTTTACTATATCCACCTTTTCGACTGCAGCTTTCCACCCCCCACCCAAAAAACACACAACCTGTACAAGAGAAAAAACGGTTTTATCTGATGCAATGTAGTTATAAAAATATATATTTACCTTCAAATTCTACAGAAACCTTCCAATGTAGGTTTTGCAAATGTCTTCGTAGTTTATGGCCGTAGCTGGGTTTAAACTTTTCTTCTGGACACAAGGGACAAGCTTTTTTGCCAGCTGTGGAAACAAGTAGAACATTTTACAGGCAAGACTGGTTCAGGGTGATCGCCATTTGACAGTGAATTAAATGGTGAGTACACAAAGAAAAAACATGACTCTCCTACTTGGGGGAGGAAGATGGATGAGAGAAAGGGAGATAAGTGGGGTGCTCTTTGGAGAGAGGTGTTGGCTCTAAGATGACATGTCTGGCAATGGAAGACTGGAATCAAGTTGAATCTCTGTGGCAATCTCGGTGGTCTAAAGCATGAGCCCAACGGGCCTGCAATACTTCAAGGCACTGCTGACAATGGATCAGCCAGCCTGTCTCATTGATAGGACTTGGAAGGAGAGGACAGTAACTGAAGATACAAATGTGACCCTACTGAATTTTAGGCTGCTACAAAATAAATAGGTGCGCCTTACTATTACATTTCTGTACTTTTTTTTACTCTGATATATGGTACTCACCAAAAATAATTGTGGTTCAATTAACACAACCAAGTTACGAAGAAAATCTTTACAGTTCTGAACATAAATCTTTGCTGCCCAGCAAAAGGACCAAATGTCACTAATTTGGACCAACCAGATGGGTTGAGGTCTTAGTTATTACAGTTAGTGTGTGATGTGCCACTTACCTCCATCAATATCTATAAGATTCTTCAAGTCTATTAGAGTTTGTTGAATAGAGATGTGTCTCTCTGGGAAAGAATTTTAAAAGATTTTAAAATGATAAATAAAACCAATTATTCTCTTCTTTCTCTTTCACATAGAAAATATTACATTCATTCTACAAAATAGTTATCATGTCTTTATAGGTATAAATAATAATAATCTTTGCATTTCATATAGTGGCTTATCACGTCGTTGAGATGTCTCAAAGCGCTTCATACAATACACTGTAATGTGAATTGACAGTATATTTTGTATAGAATGTGGTAACTGCTTTTCACATAGGTACAAAATGAGGAGAAATACTACTGTTCTCCAGCTTTTTGGAACGGAGAACCAAATCAAGAGAGATAAAATCATGTGATATTACCAGAGAGCAATCTCCTCCTGCAGTCCGTTTTAGTAAAATGCCTTCTGCACCTCTACCTCACTCAGTGTACTTCCATCTCAGCCATCTTTGTGACGACCAATGCCCATCAAGAAGCAGTTTGGTGGTATGAAGATCCCCTCAAACACTCCTTCACAATTTTTTTCTCTCTTCCTAACACCGAGTCTTATTGTGATGCCTTTCCATGGACACCTGGGGCTATCCTTAACCTCACACAAGTGACCATCTTTGTGATAATAATCCTTGCATTTGATATAGTACTTTATCAATATCATAGCCAAGATTGATCCTGGCTCTATCCAAATACACAATGGGACACTAAATGGTGATCAAGAGGTTAATTTCTCCTCTTCTCCAGCCCAGGGATACTGAGGGCAAACATAGCATCCAAACTGCTACCCAGTTGAGATCAACTAGCTCAGCGGATGAGGACTTGCAACCTTCTGGTTTGCATGATTTAGTGCTATACACTATTAGGTGCTTTCATCTACAAGGCCATTATAGGAGCTCTTTTGTTATGCAGTTTTATTGGCGCATCTTTTAAACAAACCTGCTGTTCCAGAAGCTGCACTCGGATCCAATGTTTCAGAAAAGGTATCATCTTGAACATCAGTACTGATAATTGGATTGAAACATGGTTGAATACAATTTGCCTCAGAGCTCAAGTCAACAGTGACACTTCCAACATCTTCGTTGTCAAAGGAGTTGAAATCATCTGAAATGTAAAAAGTAATCATCATTTTTGAACATCTTTTCTAACACAGTTTACAAGCTCTGCAAACCAAAAACACAGCCAACCTTACCTAGATATTAAGAAGGGATTTTATTGTTTTTAGGCTTCGTTAGCATACAAATCAATTATGCTTAAAAGCAAATTACAAAAAAAGGCAATGCAAAATTCATTGTTTAGAGATTTATACTACTTCAAAAGTTGTGTAAAGAAATTAGCTTCAGTTGCTGCAAATGTTTATTTTCATCTGAATCCAAGCTATAAAATGATCCTTCACGAGAAGTGTGATGAAAACCCTTTGATCTCCTCCTCCCAGAGTATCCATCCCCACCACGTCACCCATTACAGCATTGAACTTTTTTTTAAATAAGCGATAAATAAAATGTCATGGCTTGAAATACTGAATTCTCTGATAACTGTCCCAGCCATTATATCCAGGTAGGGGCATGTTACATTCCACCTCTGGTGAAATAAAAAACTTGTAGGTGAGTTTATATCCTGCATCTCCTGCACTTGAATTTGCAGGTTTGTTATCAAACTCAGGTGATCAGGTATTGGCAACTCACAAGAGTTTGGGTTTAAGTGTCGGATCGTACATTAGAGACCAATGATTAGTGTCATGTCGGTTCCCTCCCTCACCCTTCCTGAAAATTCAATGTTTGCATATGAATATAACTGGGCAAATTTACAGGAATTTCCTTCTCTCCCCCTGCCACCAACACCTCACAATAAATAAGGTCCCATCTTCCCCATTTTTTCTAATCCAGTTTCTTCCCCTCTCCCCCATTCTGAAGGTATTGATTCCATTTATCATCTTTGGGGGTACAATTTATTGTTTATTATACAGTTGCTCACTTGAGTAAGCCATTATTCATTTGTGAGCCTACAGAGTGAGAATCAGCAAGACTGACTATTCATTCCTGGGGTCATTTGATATACAAACCCACTACTACAAAAATGGGGAGGTAGGGTAAAGCAAGGAAAACTGGTTAATCCTTGCATTTTTTGATATAGCGTCTTATCATGTCTTCGAGGCACCTCAAAGTTCTTCACAGAATATACTGTAAAGTGAATTGACTATATATTTTGTGGGCGAAATGCAGGAGCCAATTGTGCACAGCAGTGTCCCATAAACAGTCGTGGATTGAAGTGACCAATTTTTTTAAAAAGGAACTATTACCCCCGGAAAAGCGATCCGCAAATCAACTAACAATCAGGTTCCTCCTTACTGCTAGGTAAACAGAGGTGCATGGATTAAGGAAACTTGCCTAACATTTCGCCCTGCTGGGGAATTGAACCCAGGTCTCTCGCCTGCGAGGCGAGTGCTCTGACCACTGAGCTACAGGACTCCGGAGTGGGCATGTTAGTTGATTTTCCCCTCCCTTATCTCGGGGACACTGAAGTCAATATTAGCAAGTTACCAGAGGACTCCTAGAACCCAAGTGAACCATAGCCCAGTAGCGTAATAATCCTTGCATTTGATATAGCACCTTTCATGTCGAAACATATCAAAGCACTTCACAGGAATATACTGTAAAGTTGATTTGACTATATTTGTGAGTGAAATGCAACATCCAGTTTGCACACAGCAATGCCCCACAAACAGCGAGAGATCAATTATATTTAGGGATTGTTGGTCAGGACACCAGGAGAAAGAAACTTCCTTCTCTTTTTGAATAGTGCCATGGGATCTTTTAACAGGCATACTGGACCAGAAAAATTAGTGAAACCCCCCCCCCCCCCACCCTGCATGAGAGTGGAACAGAGGAAAACGAATGCAAGTTGGATGATTGGCAGAATACGCTCTTTAAAAAATACCAACAACAAATTGCATTCATAAAGCATCTGTCATGAGGGGAGGGCTTCCTAAAGGACTGGGCAGTGAAGGGTTTGCACGCGAGCTGGGGAATGGGATCAAGAGGGGATAAGAGGCAAACTATTCTCTGGCCTCATAAGTTAAGTACCGCAAGTATAGAATTACAATTCACTCCATGGAAGCATTTTTTTTTAAAAAAAAATCAATCAGAGAATATATGATGCACTTGGATTTAATAAAAAAAAAGCATTCGCTGTTTCGCTTCACTGCTGCACTCGTCCGTCCCTTCGCCGTCAACTCGTTGAAACAGCTCCTTGAAAGTTAGGACGCCATCTCCCGACCGGTCCCCCCCGAGCTCCGCCGCTCGGGATCGGGGCCCTCTGAACGGAGGACCCTTCTGCGCTCAGGCCCTCGGCTCCATCGCGGCTGCTCGGGTGGGGGGTGGGGGGGGGGGGGGTCAAGGGAGGGCGAACCACAAGGTGGTAGCAGCGCGCGCAGAGGATCGGATCGGAGTAAGGAAGACTTTTCTTTCCCTTTGGAGAGTTTGATAAGGCGCCATATCAAATGGAAGGATTATTATTATTATTATTATTATGGCTGTGCAAAAAAAAGAGAGAGAGAGAGAAAGAGAGAGAGAGGAGTAGGAGGAGGAGGGAAAAAGGATCTTTCCCCAACCGTCTTGAGCAAAGTCCCTACTTGAGCCCGTGTCCTCCTGGTGCAGCTCCTCGACCCGCGGCTCCGCCATTTTAGCAGTGGCGACGGTTTGAAAGGAAATCGAAAGGGCGGCCGCGGAGCATGCGCGGCCGCCGCGGTGCGTGCCGGGAGTCGTAGTCCGGTCCCTCGCGGTGGCGGCGGAAACCGCTGCCGGGGGAACTGCAGCTCCCACAATGCCGCGCGGGCCGCCGCTCCAACAGCTTCCCTGAAACGGACATGTACTTTTAAACCCGTCGCACCGCGTCGAAGAGGGGGGAAGAAAAAAAAATCACCGCCGCTGCTCTGCCCGGCGAGCGTCAGTGGTCGTGGTGGGCGGCAATACCACCCCCCACCCACCCGCCCCCTTCCCCCGCGGGTTGTAGGTTGTGCGGCGGCTCGAATAATACCGTCCTCGCGAGTTAAAACCGTTGTAAATGTCATGGTCGTGTAGGCCTCTCGCTGGCCCTGCTCTGCACTCGGGGAAAGTCTCGGTGTTTCTCTGGCTCGAGGTAAGGCCCCGGACATTTTCACGTCCCGGTCCAACCCACTAAAATGTCGTGTCGTGAGGCAGCTTTCGGGACATTTTTTTTTGTGTGTGTGTGTGTGTGTGTGTGTGTGTTGAGCTCCGATAGCCATTCCCGGGTTCGTACATGCTTTGAATTTGTAAACCACCACCTCCTCCTCCTCCTCCTCCTCCTCCTCCTGCTCCTGGGCTGTTGACTGAACGCCGCCTCCGGTCAGGGCGAAGCGGCTGCCAAGGCCAGCGAGGATGACCAAATGGCCAGGCGGCACCTTGAGGGCCGTGTGTCTTGTCTCGTCTTGAGTCGGAAAATAAGTCGCCGGTGGCTTAATTCGCTTCGTCCGCGCGCTTGGATTTTGCTGGCCATCCCGATGCGGGATGTGCAGTTACCTGTTTTTTTTTTTTTTTGCAAATCTCGCCAGCGGGCCGGCGGACGGTATTCACGAAAGTGGTAGTCTCGGACGGACGGCACAGCAAATCCGGTTTGTGCACGATTCAAATTTGACCCAGGTATAACCTTGTGTAGGTCCCTCGTGAGCCAATATTTGGGATATCGCGAGCGGTTTTGGGTCATCTTACCTTCAGAAGGATGATCGAAGGCTTCAGAGAATAGCCGCAAGAACTGTGCTCACAATAATAATCCTTGCATTTTGGTACAGTGCTTTTGAATTTAGGAGGCCATCTCGAAGCATGCCACAGGATTTTTTGAGGAGTGAAGTGATTGTGTATTTTGTGAGCTAATGTGGTGGCCAATTTGCGCACAGCAGCGTATCACAAACAGCCAGAATGACCAATTTTATCTTGGGTATCTGTTCGTCAGGACATTGGGCGAAATTCCCTTCTCTCTCCAATTAGTGATTTGTTTATGTTCACTTGAACAGGCAATGGGATCTCAGTTTAGTGTTTAATCTGAAGGGTGGATAATACAGGGTTAATAATAACTTAATAACTTGAGTTTATTCAGTGTCTCTCACAGAACACTTTACAAAGCAAAATTAATTAGAAAAAAGTGTCCTTGTGTGTGTGTGTATATATATATATATAGTGTACTAGATGTACCTAGAGCTAAGCATGTTTTTATTTTAGGAGTGAGGGGGGAAACATTGTGTCAAGATTATAAAAAGCCCAAATTATCCAGATACAAGCGGAACTGGAGTGCATGGATTTAAAATTGAAATGACACAAATAGGGCTGAAATGAGCAAATACTCCCAGGACACATTGATTGTAAATTCAGTATTGAAAGGCTATTGTCTTTCTGTGCACAGTACAGTACAGTATCAGTCGAGCTTGGGCCCTATTAGGGAGAGACCGACACATGTCGTAAGAACGAGCTCTGCTCATTTTCTCCCCCATGAAGAAATGGAGACAGATTTAAGCAATGGGGATGGATGAATAATCTGGAGTTTTTGCTTGATGTCATTGCGTTTGGAGAGCAGGAGAGTTATCTGCTGAACTTTCCCTCAGCGATAATAGTTGGGTGAAGCGTGTAACAATGGTAGATTTTATGTACAAAAAGAGTGGGCTTGATTTCCCGTAGGTACCTTTCTTGTTTCACACTTTCGTATGGCTATAGATATCAAAGTCGCTTAACTGTGTACTAGGTGACAATTTATTTTATTCTTCTTGGGGGAGGAAATGAGCAGAGAGCTCGTTCTTAAGAAATGTGTCGGTCTCTCCCTAATAGGGCCCAAGCTCGACTGATACTGTACTGTGCAGTTATCAATGTATGTTATTTATACAATGCAATACTATTTTATCTTCTTCATGTAATATGGCCTTATAATATATTCTGTGAAGCGCTTTGAGATGTCTCAAAGATGCGATAAGGCTCTATTCCAAACGCAAGTATAACTAGGTTCTTATGTATTTTTCCTTTTTGTACATCCTCTTTCTCACCCCCACCCCAACTTTCCTGGCCTCAGGATTCAGGAGCTCTACAAATCAGATAGTGAGTAATGTCTGGAAAGGATACAAAGCACAAGAAACCAAAGGATAAGTTGCGAACGAAACACAAGAAAATGAAGGATAAATCACGAACAAAGAAGTCCCGGAAATCCAGCGTCGATCGTGATGTGAGTACACAATCACTTGCTTTCAATGCACCTCAACAGTGTTTTCTGACCTATGCTATGGCCACAACCCAAGTTAAGAAGATTCAATTCTATCTTCTGTTGTTTAACAGACATATCATGAAGAAAAGGGTGAAAGTAATTTTTCCAGGTTCTCAATATTTGGTATTGATAATTGAAAAATTAGCTATATATGTGCACCAATAATTTGCCATTCCCTTTAGAAATAACCATTACCCCCTTCACTAATTGAATTAAAATAATATTCTAAGTAAGCTTCAGAATGCACTTTTGTGCAGTCTGGTTTTACTAGGAATGATTAGTCTTGTCTTGTGGTATAATCTTAAGTAGATTTACCTATGAATTCATGTTTTTTTCTGAAGACTGACCGCTTTGTCTTTGTCCCCTGAATAGTACCCTCAGTTCTGAAGATTGACATTTTTTATTTTAAAAAAAAGCCCTACATATCAGTTAATGATTATCTTTTAGAAGTTACATACTGTAAAGTTTAAAGTTTATCTCATCCGATAGTTGTCAGGTGGACTCTGAACCTCTACTGACTAGTGCTGAGTTTTTCACTTCCAGATATCCAAAATTTGGCTGAGCCAATTGGCTTGGATGCTTCAAGTAAACAGTGCAGCATAAAAGGACAACATCTGCCTATTGTGCATGTCTCATGCTACTTCCCTACTGGAGCTATCTTCTCCAATCCCTAATTTGAAGGACAAGTTGAGCAAAGGGTTCAGGATTGTAGCCTTCTTGTCGTAACTTCAAAAGTCTTGCTACTATTGAATAAGTTCATTATTGTTGTGCTAAATGTTTTTTTGTGTGTGTTTTATATTGGTAGAAGAAGAAAAGTAAAAGTGACCAGACTGGCAGTAGAGAGAGTCCATCACCTCGAAAAGAAGTCAGAGGAAAACGAGTAAGTTTCAGTGCAGTTTTCCAAGAATATCTGCCGAGCCTTCAGATCTGATGCCCTTCACCTGTGGAACTCCTTCTCTTTCCTGCTCCATCTCACCCCCTCTCTATCTTTAAGTCCACCTTAACCTGTTTCGTTGACCATGCTCATGGTTACCTCCCCTGTATCCCTCCCTCTTGTTCTGAATCCAACATGTCTTTGTAAATCACTCTGAGGCTGCAGATCATCCAGGACTCTGCAGCCCGTGACCTCTTCCGTACCAGGCTCCGTAACCCTGTCACCCCCATACTCGCCTGGCTCCATTGGCTCCCCATCACTCAAAGGATACAGTTCAAGATTCTGGTCCTCACCTTCGAAGCCCTCCATGGCCTTGCTTCTCCTTACCTCTGTGACCTCCTAACCCCCAACAAACCTGTTCGCTCTCTCTGTTCAGCAGGCTTCAGCCTGCTTCTCGTTTCCCACCTTTCCCGCTCCACCTTCTTCAAGACCCGTCTCAAGACCCTCTTCAAGCGTGCCTTCGGTCACCCTCCACGTCTCCTGATCCCAGCCACTAGCTCGGGTGCGGATCCCTGACTGTCCAGCATCTTGGGAAGTCCTCCTGACGTAAAAGGCGCTGTACAAATGTAATTTTCGTTGTTGTTGAGATGTTATCTGATGTTAAGGATACTATAAAAGTTGTATTAGAGGGCAACCTTGCGATAACACACTATTGTATTAACCATTGATAATTGAAAAGTTCATATAAGTAATTTTCATTGTAGCTTCCAGTTCTACGGCATGTCCTTATTCGTAATCACAAATTGATGTGACATTTGTCATTAAAACGCTTTCTGATACGATATCAGATACGGGATTTAAATGTGTTTAACAGTTTAAGAGTTCTGGTGAAAGTTTCCAGACTTTCAATAGAAAGTTTGTAAATTTTGTTTAAAAATTATCCATGGAATGTTTGCAAACTTTTTCTTAACATATGTCAATGATAAGATTGCAAAGTTTCTGCTAAAATGTTTGCATTGTTTCAATACTGTGCTTCTATTACTATTCACACTGTTCACCCAACAAATACACAGAGTGACATTACTTTACACTATATCTTGTGAAGTGCTTTGAGGTGTTTCGATGATGTGATATGTGCTATATCAAATACAGTATTTTCCAAAGATGCAGGAGAAAGTATATTCTCATGTTTTGCCAAGTAGGATTTGAAGGTGCATTGAGTTTCTACTCCAAGACTAGAAAGCATATTCAGCATTTACAATAATGACATTAAAGCAGGTCATTTGCTCTAAATTACAGTACACTAACATGTCTATGTATTGTTCAGATATCAGAGAATGGTCTACACTTTCAATATTATTTTGTTTTGTGTTTCTTATTAGAGCCATCATGATCGAGATTCTTCCACTGAACGCAAGCAGTCTGTGGAAGAGCATAAACCATCCTATCTTAGGTTAGTATTGGCGAAAGTTTGAGAAACATTTGTTTTTAATTAGCGTGTCAAATGAGTTTTAAAAACTGTTTTTGAAATCCCTATGGACTGACATTCCAGTTGATGTTGCATGTAATGTGTTTGACAATGCAGGATTATGATGGCAGAAATCCCATTTGTGGCTGACCTTGCCAAAGAAGTTATGTGTAATGGTGACATGAAACGTCGGTGGTGTCACTTCTTTTGTAATGGGGATGAAGCCAGCAGCAACCTAATTACCTGGAAGTTGGATATTTTCATGCTTCGCTTACAACGAGGCCACTGAGATTTAGCACACAGACATTCATGCTATAATCGAGTTGTCACTTACCTCTTATTCTTCAGACGTAACTAGAATAATGTGTGTCCATATCATAAATGTGTCTTTTTTTGTTTGTTTTGGCTCCATCTACTTTTGTTTGTTTCGACAGCCACTCTGACTCCGAGGGCCACGATTCCAAGAACAGGGATGATGTGAAATCGAAAAAATGTAAGTACACGGATGATGCATCTTCGTTGGAGGGACCTTCCTCATCGAAATCGTCAAAGAGACACAAGTCGAAGCATAAGAAGCACAGAAGGCATTCACCAGCAGAAAAGAAGAAAGAAAAGCACCGACACAGAGAAGACGAAAAAGTGTCACCTGACACCGCTAGCGCTGTAGACCAAACTGGTGAATCCCTTACACCTAAGGCAAAGCCTCCAGTGGAGAAGGATCCAGAGGCCCTGAAGTCTAAAGTAATTGAGCAGCTTCATAGCCCTTCACCTGAGCAGCCGCAAACCAATTCGGAACACCATCTTGGAAAAAAGTCTCCTCCAGAAGAAACTCAAGAAGTCGCAGAAGAAATTAGTAAGGAAGGTGAAAATCAACCTTCCTTAACAGAGCCTTCGCAAACAGTGAACAAGAAAGTTGAGGACAATGTTGCTTCCGAATCTTACAAGCAACAGCAAAGTGCAAAACAGACACAAGATTTACAAGAACAGCACAAGGAGTCTACTCAATCAGACAAACCACACAAAGATTCAGGAGAAAGTCTAACAAAATGTGAAGAGGTAGATGTTCTCAATACAAAATCTAGTCATCTTGCGAAATTACGCGAAAATCCCGGAAGATTGTTTGATCCATGGAAGGTAAACCTCCCCAAAGCTATCCAAACTGCAGGAAATTCGAGTGAAGGAGGAGTGAAAATTCTCGACTGGCAGAAATGTGATAAAATAAATAATCATTTGAGAAGACTCCGGAAGGAATCTAGAAAATTAGAGCGATTGAAGGATGTATCCAAGAATAAAACGCTCAAAATGTCATCAAAATCCAGTGGTCCTTCTAAAACCTCAGCGATTGAAAAATCCATTAGATCTGGTGGTGGACCAACAAGTTTAGGGTCATCCAAAAGATCCCTGTATGATCAGACAAGCACCAAATTAGTTTATGACGAAGGAGGTTTGGGGTATCAGGATAAATCCACAGTCTCAAATGTGCCTCAGACGCCAGAACTTTGTGGAAGAGCTGATGCTGGGACATTTCCAGCTAGTAGTTCTGAAGAAGCTGTGGGATACGAATCCTCTCAGCAACCAGCTGAAAGGTTTCAAAGCTTTAAAATTCCCAAAAAGGTCCTTAATAAAGACGCCTTTTCACAGATGGCTTCCAATGAGCTTTTAACTTCGAAAGGCACTCAGTTGAAAGGTAAAACTTCAGACGATGCTGCAACTTCTAGTTTAGCTTGTTCGGCGACAGATGAAGAAAGCTCTGGGATCAAGTTGGATTACACCTGGTCCTCGCAACACCCGGTAATGAAGATTTCTAAATCCAATTAGAAATTCTGCTACTTCCATATTAAAAAATCATTGCTTCATTGAATTATCAAAGTTGAGAAATGCAGTCAGTCTTGTCCAAAAATATAAGCTATGAATTCCAGTGTGCATTTCTTCCCTTCCAACAGCAACAAATTACATTTGTATAGCACCTTTCACGTAGGGAGGACGTCTCAAGGCGCTGGACAGTTAGGAATTTGGACCTGAGCAGGGGGTTGGGATCAGGAGGGAGAGTAAGGGCAGGGAGGGTAGGGGTAGGAAGAGGAGGCATTGTTGAAGAGGAGGGTCTTGAGATGTGCCTTGAAGGAGGTAAAGGAGGGAGCAAGGCAAAGGAACTGGGATGGAGTTCCAAAAGGTGGAGGCAGAGAGGCTGCAGGCCTGACTGCTGATGTTAGTGGGTGCTGGGAGGGGGAAGTGGAGTGGGCTTGAGCATGCTGAGCAGAGGGAGTGGGCAGGTTAATATGGGGTTAGCAGGTCATAGATGTTGGAAGGAACAAGGCCATGGAGGCTTTGAAGGTGAAGATGAAGATTTTGAAGTTTATCCTGTGGGGGATGGGGAGCCAGTGGGCTGGCGAGGGTGGGGGTGCAGGAGAGGGCAGTTCTGGATGATCTGCTGCTTGTGGAGGATAGGGTTGGGAAGGCCAATAAGCAGGGAATTGGCATAGTCTAGCCTAGTAATAAATTTGTGGGTGAGCGTTTTGGCAGCTTAAGAGGACAGGCAGTGGAGGAGCCAGATGATGTTGCGGAGGGCAGGGAAGGCTGCGCTGGTCCAGTATTTTAATGGGGGTAAACAAAGGTATGAATGTGTGACTCGTACGGAGAGATTTACGATAATACGTTTGTTAAATTTTATTAGCCTGATTCGCTTGGTGGAACATCACTCAGAACTTGCCATCTTGATCAATATAAGGTGATGTGTTACTTTGCTTTTCAGCAAGTAATTGTCTGGAAGCTCAAAGTCCTAGCAAGTACCTTGAGCAGCTCGCCTGCTCTATATTGAAAAAAATTCAATGAAGTCCAAGATCCTTGAAGGAATGTACAACACATTAAGAGAAATGTAATCACACTTCTATTCCAAAATTAGTCTTTCTCACTTTTTCATCAGCATTATCTATGCTGAAGTATAACATTTCATACAGTTTCATCACATGTTGTTTCACACTGACCCTAACCAAAAACAGATTTTAAAGGATTATTAACTGCCATCAGTTCTATCTTAGGGACTTTCATCCTCATATATTGTTTCACATTTGAAGTATCAGAAATTGAATAGCGTGGGTGGGGTAGGGGTCAGTTTCTCAATACAGTGTAAACTTTATATCACAATATTCTCTGCGGTAGCATTGATTAATTGATGCTAAAAGTCCATTGTAAATCCGTTTCTAGGGGCATTGGTGCTGTTTAAAGTCACCTCCAGGAGGTGAGTCTGAAATGGAGGAGATGCACTGTGAATTTGGTTTGATTCAAGCTAATTTTAAACTTAAGTTTCAGAAGTTCCTGAACTATCTGTTTGACTGCTCTTAAGATAGGCAGCAGTACTGCCAGGTGTCTAATAACATTAAAAAAAAACTGGCGTAGTCGCCAGGTAGCAGGACTCTATGCATGGACTCGGTTATTGACACGTGCTTTGCTCATCCAAGAGAGCAATTGGGAGATGAGAGTATAAATGGGTGCTAGTTCTGAATTGTTCTATTGCCTGTTTATCGAGGGGCACAAGGATCTTGCATTGACTAAAGCTGCCTCTGCTGATTCCATTCATTTGACAACCACTGTTATGTTCAGATAATTTGATGCTCTTAGCAACAGGGCAGAATTTTTCTTTAAAAATATATGAAACTGGATAATCGTTTAGAGATGTGATATGTCTTATGTGTAAATTGTATGATAACATTAATTCCATTTAGAGCTGGATAAATTTATACAAGGTTGCTATTCAATTTTATATTAAAATGTAGCTTATGTTTCAGAACATATGTGTGAGTAGTATCAGTGAGAAATCTTTGACTATCAAGATAATTACACGGAAGAATGTAACAATATTAAAAAAAACAGCCTAAAGCAATGGTCACTTTTTAAAGTGACGAATGAGATACTATAATGGTATTTTCAATGGCTTCTCCTTCCCCCCTCATCCTCCCAGGACTCTCAGAGAACAACCAGATCTTTTTCCACTGTGCCAGTTCATGATATGGAGACTGATGAAGAGGTATGTGGTATTCTAATGACCAGGGAAATGTTTTAGCAATGATGCCTCTCTGCTGGTGTTCAACTCAATCAGTGACGTGTATAATAATATTGACTTCAGTAAAGCAGAATGGCATTAAACTTAATTATCAGTATTTCAGCACACCTCAAAACTTTTACAATCAAGTCATAATTATCACTATGTTTTACAGTTAGCCTCCTTATTAGTATAAAATGCTTTTATTGAGCATCCATTTCTGTCAGAGATGTTGCTTCCCACCCCCTGAAATATAATACCACATCACCAAGACAAAACCACCTAACTGGCCAATTTTTCGTCCAAGCAAGTTTCGGAAAGCTTTTCATTCTTGGGGAGCATCATACCAAAGTTTAAACGAATCCGATCACTACCCACTCATAACTTCAAGGTAAGATAGAAACGTATTACAAGCAGAACACCTTGCTCTGCGCAACTCCGGAGTCACGAGCGCCAATTGCAATGGCTTCACCATTGCACTGGCAGACATGAGCTAACTGGGGATTCGAACTGACCTCCAAGGTCTGTGTGTGGTTCAGTTTTGCACTTCACATCAGGGGGTGACGTTTTCAACCATCAGTGCCGTCAGGAAGGACGTCTGGTTGTGTTTCTAAACCGAGTCTGCCACCATTAACTAGCTCACAGTGTAATTCTGGTTGGCACAGTAACCTCTCGTGTCACAGCTGGATTCAGCACATTCCAAATTCTACATTCCTACTTTAAAAAAATTTTTTTGTTCATATCCAAGATGGCTATTACTAATAATGTGAGTAGTATTCAAAGTAAATTTAGTTTTTATTTTGCGTATGTTAAAATCTGAGTTAAATGCTCTGCTATCATGTTATCCGTGGACATTTATGTGTTGGGCCCTTAAGAGCTGCTAACTTCAAATGTTGGGCCTCTGAAACTTAGCAGAGAATGAACTGTGAAGAACATATCAACATCGCCTACAAAATATACCGTATATTCTGTGAAGCGCTTTTGAGAAGTCTCAAAGACGTGATAAGGCGCTATTTCAAATGCAAGGATTATTATTATTACTATTATAAGAGGAGGTTGCTAATTGCCCCGATCAGTCATTTTATTGAATGGGACATCACTTTTAATTACATTTCCCTATCTTTACCCAATATTTCTTAATATTCTTACTTCCTAAGCATGTAATATGTCGGGAGGACATCCCAAAGGATCCCAAATGGGATCTTTACTGTCCATCTGGACAGGCAGACGGGACCTCGGTTTAATGTCTTGTCCAAAGGACGACACATCAGTAGTGAAGTGCACCCCCAGGATCTCATTAGAGTGTCAGTCTAGACTAATATGGGTTCTACGTCTTGATGTTTCGTAAGTCTTTATGTTTCTTTTTCAAAAAGAATTTGGTTATTCAATCCACGACTGTTGTGTGCAATTGGCTGCTGTGTTTCACCCACAAAATACAGTCGAACCACTTTACAATAAACTCTATGAAGCGCTTTGCGACATCTCAACTAAGGTGCTATATCAAATTCAAGGATGATTAATATTATTATGTATTCATAATCCCTGTATTTGATATAGCGCCTTATCACGTTTTTGAGACATCTCAATTTATTCTTTTAAAAGTGAATTATATAGATGCTTCGGGCCAATAAAGGAGTATTTGAAGGGCAAGGACTGCATCAATTCTTTTGAAAAGGAATTAAATGATACTTGGATAGAAGAAATGGAAAAGGGCATAGGGAATGAACAAGAGAGTGACTCGTGTAGACAAAAACACTAGCCAGACGGATGCTGCACTTGAAAGGGTGTTTCTGTACCATAACATTCTGTGGGTCTACATTCTATAGAATCAGCACAGGTATATCCCTTTTGAGAAGTAGAGGCTTACATAAACAACAACAAGATTTCATTTATAGAGCGCTTTCACGTTGGGAGGATGCCCCTAGGCCCTGGACAGTTGGGTCAGGACCCGAGCAGGTGGGAAATGGTCAGGGTGAGGGGAGGGAAGGGAGGGAGGGAGGAGGGGGTAGAGAGTCGAGAGGGGAGCTGAAGGCACGGTCAAAGAAAACTGTTGTAATGGGAGCAAATTAACATAGGACTTCATAATTCAGCCATCGCAACCTATTCTCCCTTCAAACCCTGAGAAGGTGTGTGCTGACCTGTTTTCATTTGATCTAAAATAATAATTGGCACTTGTTTGCAAGGCTGTTCATAACATCTTATATTAAACAAGTGGCCCAAGTATCCAAGTTCTGCCTAAATCATCACAGAATAAGAGTGTAGTATGAAATAAATCCACACACTGCCTAGTCATTTTTACCTCTCAGATAACCACATCAGGTGGCTTTAGTGTAAGTTACATGGTTGGTTACATGAACATGTTGCCTTTTGAGTTTTGGAAAAAAGAACTTCTTTCAGCGTGTCAACTCAGAATAATTACTCTTCATAAAATAGGCCTTAAATTGTAATGGTTGTACAGTAAAACTCACATAAGTCTGATCTGTATAAATCGTATAATTGCCGAAGTTGTACATTTGTCCCAAGTTCTATTCAAGAGTTTATATTCTATGCAAGAATAACTCATACTTTGCATAAGTCATATTAAATGTATGGGCCCAACTGATACGACTTATGTGAGGTTTACTGTATTTAATTGTAATGTCAGTAACATAAAAAAGTATAAGTAATCTTTTAAAGTTTACCGAATTTCTTTTTAGGAACGTAATTTGAGTTCTGTTCAGAAAATCAGTAAATCGGGGGGCTTTAATGTGAGTTCTTTATGCTAACTTCACAAAAGGATTTTTTTTCGCTCTAAAAGATGGAGATCGTGGAAGAGCTCCACACAGCTCGGTATGAGAGAATCCTAGAGGTGGAGGTGGATCAGAGTTATGGAGAGCTGACCAGGATGGAGATAGACCCTCCGCAAGAATTGAAAATTTCATTCCCGTGTAAGTATTGCTTTCGGAAAAAACAATTTCTGAACAGTAGCTGTATTGAGCTCGCATCTTTTTCCCCTGAATTTCCTTTATTTTTGCTTCCCTTAGTTTTTTTCTGTAAAAGTAGTCAAGTGGATTTCCTTTTCTGTATTGTTATCATCTATAGGAATGTGGGTTTCGCAACTTAGAACTTTTTTTTGTGCTCAGTTCATTTAATTCTCTTCAAAAGACCCTGACAGTTTTGGAGTGCAGATCCACTGGTCCTAGTAACACTTGTCGCTTGCCCAAGTGGTCATTCTTCATATATGATCCCAATTAGAGAAGGTCAGCAGGCTATTCAATTATGGCTCACAGGAGTAAAATTCCACATGCTATTAGCATTTATGAGAGTAGCGAATTTAGCAAATTCTTAATTATTTAATACTTGAATTTGAAGCCGGTTTTCTGGAAGTTCTTTTAAGAATTACCACAAGCACGGTCAAAGATGAAAGTCTTCAGGCATGATCTGAAAATGAGGAAGGAAGGGGAAAGGTGGAGGGATTGAGGGTGAGAGTTCCAAAGTTTTAGGGCATAGTGGCTGAGAGCACAACTTCCGATGGTGGAGCGGAGGCAACTAAGGATGAGCAGGAGATAAGTAGTGGAGGGGAGTAAGCAGGTCAGAGAGGTAGGGAGGTGAGGGCATGAAGTGAATGAAGATGAGTGTGAGAATCTTGAAGTCACAGTTCAAGTTCTTGAATCATCTTGAAGTTGTACGGGCGGTGGAGCCCTTAGAATTAAAAGCTGCTCTAGACTCTTGAGATGTAGCGCTATATTAATTTTGTTTAAACTTGTGATTGATTGTCCAGCTCAAGTATCTTCTCAGCGTGAGCTTATCGTTGTCCTTGACACCAACATTTTCATCAGTCATCTCAACTTTATCAACACTCTAAGAGACATTGAGATTCCAGGTATGTGAAACGAACTTCATTCTTATGGCGAACCTTCTATTATTAGTTTTATTGCAGTGCAGCAATCAGTAGAACTAAAATGATAAAATATTTGCATAATGTTTTGTTTGCCAATAGAAAATATTTGACAAAATGAAATATCTCGAGGGCTCCAGATAAAATATCAACATTCGTGTTTCAGTCTCAACTATAGTCGAGCATTTGTTTAAAATGCATAAAGAAAGTTTCTTGTGGATGTTTGTATAATATTGCAACATAGTTATGACTACCCTATAGTCAGATTACAATTCAAACATGCTGCACTTCAGTCGGTGCTAGATAATGCTGGTGTTATTGGTTTCACAGTACCTAGGGATTAATAGGAATCTGATACTATAGTAATCAAGATTAGGAGTCTTTTGTTCCAACATTTCTGGATGCTTAGCAGCAATGCAGCTTTTTATTATTTTGTTTTCCATATTCTTTTACAAATTTCAGTATTTTGCAGTCAAGCGTGATAATACCGCGTGGTTTGGGTCCATAAAATCTTATCTTAAAAAGGGATGCTGTAAAAATGGTTATCAGTCAACGATTCTAGGTTATACAGTTGTCTATTTCCTGTATGACAAGCAGAAGTCTTGAAGACGTGATTAAGGCACTATACCAAATGCAAGGATTATTTATTATTATAATAAATCTCACAAGTCTCTCCAGTGGTTGCTGAGACATCGGGAGGCCTTGCGTACATGCAAACTATTGCTGAAAGCCAACCAGTCGTGCCAGACACCAGAATGTACTGTACTTCTGATATACAACAACGGATTACATTTGTATAGCGCCTTTCATGTCAGGAACATGTCACACGGTATACCACAGTACACCTGGGCTACAAACAGTGCTACATTATATCAGGAACTGACTTCTTATTGTTAATAGTGAACAATGGACTCCTTCTGCACTCAAACCTACTTCTACAGTTCATCATTAAAAATTGTAAGCATTGGTCTACTTAGCTGTTCACCACCTTGCATCGCTGCAAGGATGATTATTATCATTAACTTTCTTCTAAAACGGACATTTGAGACATAAACAGAGTGTAAACTTTCACTGCCTGTACCTCATTAAGATTCTGTCTCAGTATAAATTACGTACGGTGTCCCTGGAGAATATCTGAGCTTTGCAGAAATCCTACTTTATAGAGTTTGCTAAATAAGTACTGTACTACTTAAATGGACATAAGTGCTGATGTTGTGTTTCTATCATTTCAGGTTTGGGTTTCCCAATTATACTCATCCCATGGGTAGTTCTACAAGAGCTGGATGCATTGAAAAATGGAAAGCTGTCTGGAGGTGTCAATCGCAAAGCTGTGCCCGCTGTACAGTTCATTTTTTCCTGTTTCCAGAGTCGAAGTCCAAACATTTGGGGTCAGTCTATGCAGCAAGCGGCGAAAGGGATGTGTAAGTCAACAGTTTTGCAGCTCATCGATTCTTTGGGAAATCAGACATTTTAACAATTAACTCTGGAATGTGAATTCATTTCTTATTATTTTTTTCCTCCTCTTTATATTTTCATTGCCAACTCAATTACTGTCTTGTGCACTTGCTTTATTGAATTAGTGTGAACTTGAAGCTTACTTTACAATATGAGGTATACGTTGACCCTAGATTTGTTTGCAAATTAAGCTTCTTTTCCCTCCTATTAGCCACAACAAAAAATGCACAGTCAATCCACTTTAAAGTATGCCCTGTGAAGCATTTTGAGATATCTCAATGACATGATAAGGCGCTATATCAAAAGCAAGGATTATGTTATTAAAAATAAGCACAACAGTGGACAGTAATTAATGTAAAAAATTGAGGCATTTCATAATAAGCCACTACTGTATAAAAATTGCAATTTCTTCTTGACATGAGAGGGACGTTCAGAGGGAATAAAACTTGCATTCACAAAGTATTATTACCTGTATTAGCTTTGCCTTATGTAATGGACCTGCAAATTGACCGGACACAGAAGTAATTTCTGTTTGTTGCAATAGATGGCAGAATAGATGTTGGGAATCACTCTGGTTGCCTATAGAACCATTCAACAGATAGCAACTCTAAAATAGCAAGCAACCATTTACAGACCAGACCTGGCAAATAAGCGGTGTGCGATATCTCAAGGTCTAATGTTTTTTTTCCCCTAAACAGATGGTTTAAGAGATGAGAACAATGATGACCGTGTGTTGCAGTGTTGCCTGCAGTACACTGAGCTGTACCCATGTGCTCATATCCTCCTGTGCAGGTAAGTCAGTGTTACTGTCTCCAATAACCAGTGTTACATTAACCAGAGTACAGTTCCTTTATAGTGCAGTAGCAGTCAGAAGCAATGACTGCTCATGATTATTTCATGGGTCACTGGAAGCGAGTACGCATCCATTTCACCTCGCTACAGCATGCTATCCGAACCCTAGTATATTGAGTCTGCACTGTAGTTTGGTTCCTGCATTTCTCATTTAGCCTTTGCCTGCAACAAGCAGAAGAGCACTGCTTGCTTTATCGTGTTTGCCGCTTCTCCTTGACCTTGTTCCTGTACATGCAGGAACCAGAACTGAGGCAAAATAAAGTTAGTGGAGCCTTATGAAAAGATATTTGACAAAGCTCCCCTGGTTGTCTAGTAGTATGTAAAGTAGTATGTGTGGTATTGTACTAATCTATAAGACCAGAAGGTGGCATATTTGAATCATGGTCTTTAGTTTAGTTAACTGATCTTTTGTCATGGTGCTTCAGCACTGTTGGGCTGGGAAGTGGAAGAGGAATTTGTCTGGGTTTCTGCTCCTCATCACTGTCCAATGGGCACTGGTGGGAAGTACTTATGTCTAAAGGTCAGGTTTGCGAATCAGGAATCAAGGTGGAATGTGAAGGCCTTGTGGTCAAACAGCCTGCTGGCACTCACTGTTTATGCTCACACATGAACGTAGCAAAATACAAACCAATTTATTAGATATTGCAGATCTTTCTGTCCAAGCACCCTGCCAATCAGTAGCCATGCGTGCCTTCAGCACTGTGCCTCTAACCTCTGAAATTTCCAACCTCAATCTCTCCGCCTCACCCTCTCTTTATCTTTCTATCCCATTTTAAGACCTCTCTTTGACTGCACCCGTGATCACCTCTTTTCCTTTTATCCTTGCTCTATGTCAAAACCCACCACTGTGCAGCACTCCCAAGGCACTATCCTAAGTGAAGGGGCTATATAAATGCAAGTTGTTGTTTCCCTTTTGCCATACCACTTAATAATTACTATCCAGGTTATGTCCTTACATTCTTTGAAACTGTATCCAATTGTATCCTTATTGGTCTATAATAATAAACATGGTTACAATTTAGAATACATTTTTGGAGTTCATTTTGTGCTGTGTATGTGTAAACTAATGCCATTTGCTGATGTGTAATCTTTACTCTCTCTCCAGTGATGATAAAAACCTTTGCACTAAAGCCCTTGTTAGTGGTGTCAGAGCAGTGCGGAAGGTTGACCTCATAACAGAGTTTAACAACTTGAAGCCCAATAGAGATGTCCCAAATCCTAAGGAGCTAAACATCTCCGAGCAGCCTCAGGCAGGTTTGTCAATACAGTATATTTTCCTCAAATTTGTTCAGGTCTGTAAAATTAAATGTGCAATAGTCTGTATAAAGAGTGAACATTTTAAAGAGCTGCTATATTTGTTGGAATGTTAGGAAAACATCTTTACAGTGCATTCTTTTGTTTCTTTGGTAACAATTAGGAAATTAATAATATAGAACAATTCTTACATTTGATATTGTACCTCATCATATCGTCAAAATGTTTCCAAGCCTTTCACAGGATTTACTGTAAAGTATAGTGGCTGTGTATTTGCAGGTGAGTGTGGCAGCCAATTTGCGCACAATAATGTCTCACAAATGGCCTTGAAGTGAATGACCAATTGTATCTGGAGGTTTGTCATTCAGAATACCAGAAGAAAATTCTCTTTTCAACTGATGCCTTGGGATCTTTAACATCCACCTGAACAGACAGACAAACGTGACTTTGGTTTAACGTCACATCGGACAGACGGCACCTCTAACACTGCAGCACACCCCAGCACTGCATTGGAGTGACAGTCTGGACTAAATGAATTGGAATTAAAAGGCTGTAGTGGATTCCTAATGGGCTTTCATTAAATGCCGTTCACTGTAATGCTATATTTGCAGATTTGTTTGCCTTCTTCACCTGCTGGAATCGTTACACGTTTTGTGTGATTTCTTTGCTTTCCACAATTCCTTCTGCTAAATGATTCTGCTGAATGATCTAGGAATTTGTTTTCTCTTCAGCTTGGTAACGATGTGGGTTCCTCTTGATTTGCCGATAGTGAGTCGGCCAAGTCCCACCAGGGAAGCACAGATGTGACTGGTTCATCGTATAAAAATAAATTATGCAATTTCCTGCCTTCGAGAACCAAAATTATAATTCAATCTTGTGAATGAACGCCTTGTCAGGATCACACGTTGTTCCCAGATTCATTTAAGAATATACATCCGTCAAATTAGCAGGATGACAACCCTCGGGTGTTCCTGTTCCTTGCATATTCATTGTGAAATGATGTCTTGACTAAGCAGCACTTGCAGCTATTGAGAGTTGAGAGGCTCTGCCCTGAATGAGCTGTGACTCAACCTAATGATTGTGATCTCCCTTAATTTCCTCACTCTTCTGACCTGAAATGTAATGAGTAATTTAACCAGAAACCAATGGTGCGTGACTATATGTCATGTGTAATTGTGTGGTCGCTCAGTAGTCATTGTGAAATGTTACAGTTGTACAGCACAGATGTGTGTGAGTGTGTATTTTAACTAGAATTGCTGACTAAAGTGAATGTTACAGCAAAGAAACAACATTTGGCCCATCAAGTCTATACTTGTGTATTTTGCCAATGCAGGGCATGTTATATCTCATGACTTCAGGAGTTGGGCATCCTGCTCAAATAATTTTCCACATTTCTTACTTTTATTAATAAGTGATGACTAACTTTGATAAATGACTGCTCTGTGAGCAGTGTTACCATGGTTGTCAAATTTTTTAACTAAACAATTGCCATCAGCACAACACTCAAGCAGCTTATTTCAGAGCCCCAGTTTGTTTAGAGGAGAGCTTGACACAATTGTCGTTGATTTCTCTATCTTGTAGAGACTAGCAGAAGAGAACAAAATGGAACCACACAAGAGTCACTGCTGAATGTTGTTGACATTTTCACCCAGCTGGAAAAGACGCTGGGGATCGCTCTGTCAGCCATTTTGGAAACTGAGATGAAAATTGCATATGAAGAGCTCTGGATGGAGGTACAAATTGCACTGATATGTTCTTCAGCAAGGAGCTAAAATGAGCATCTTTCCAAACTCCTTGCCATGAAAGAATAAGCAAAACTTAGCATTTTAAGTTTATTCATGCATCCCATTTTTCTGATATAACTATTACCCGTTGAACCACGTGTGGGAATGTAACATCTTTGGGCAATCGCAAAAGTTACATTCCCACACTTTCCACACACGCAGCGTTGAAAATGTTAAATTTCCTCTTTCTTGCTCTAAATAATTGATGCAGTTTCTAGTGAAAATGCAAATCTTGTGAATCAAAAAGAATTTTTATTGTGTGATACTGTTCCTAAAAAAAATTATATTAAAAAACAAATATACATGGTGAGGTAATTCTGATGGTTACAGTTCAAGCAAATAATTTTCTTGGGAATCACTGCAATGTACTTAGCACATTTTTAAAATTAATTTCCAGCAGTCAAAATTAATATTTCCATGTTTTAATGTTAAAAGTTATAACCAGTATTAAGATTTTTGTTGTTGAGCAATCTTGATGCATTTATTCACAGGTTTTCCTTCTGCCAATTTTCCCTTGGGTTATTTTTCCTTCCACTCAACTAAAGTTTCTTGGGCCCTCTGGTACCATCCAGTATGTGTGCCTTGCCAGTGAATGTTGCCTTGTTTGACAGTGGTTAGGTTCACAACTATACCTGAACTATATTCTCACATTTTCAAATGATTAAACTAATTTATATATTTTTTTAAAAAAGTTGGTGTTGAAATGTTACAAAAGATTAAATTGTGACTAATCAAAATGATCATTGATGCAAGTCCTATCATGTATTTGGTCCTGACCAGGTAATATTTCTGAAGCCACCTTGGTCCTTAAGCGACCTGTTACAGTGTATGAAGAAGCACTGGATCGCTGTGTTCGGCATAATTGTGAAAAGAAATTTGCTCAGCAGCGTTGAGATATTGTGTGACCATTTTCATGCAGGTATGTCCTAAAATATGGTTAGCGGAATCCCTGTTGCACTTTCAATATTTTATTTAGTAATACCAACAGCCAAAACAAGGTTAAATACCATAAAACCCGTGAAATGCCTTGAAATGCAGAATTGCCAGAATCAAGTGGAGAAAAAAATATTGTTTGGTTCTTTTGTCTTGTAGGACAAAGCAATCTGCCTCAAACTGACATGTAGAGTCCTGGCTTCGTCAGACAAAAGAAGGGAGTTTTTCCTGGTGTCCTGACCAACAATCCCCCAAAATAAAATTGGTCATTTGTTTCATGGCTGTTTGTGGGACATTGCTGTGTGCAATTGGGCTGTCGTGTTTGCTTACAAATACACAGCCACTCTATTTCATCATATATCCTGTGAAATGGTTTGGGACATCCTCCCACAGTGAAAGGAGCTGTATTAAATGCAAGGATTATTATTTAGAAAAGGAACTCGTTATAAATGTGTGGTAAATTCTTAAAGTTTAGAGGTAAGTGGGATTAGAGATAATTGCCAGGCCTGATCTCTCCCTCCCCCACCTCCCATAGGCTGGCTAGCTGGGATTTTTATGTACTTTTTTTCTGTTGAGTTCTGCTTCCACCGAATCATTGTGAACAAGATGGTCTCCTAGGTAACCTGCAACCATCTGTTCTGCTGTATACACTGCCTTTCTAAAGTTTCTGATAAATGCACTGCTATTTCAGTCACGCCTTATGAAGGCAAAAATCCAAACTCTGTGCAAAAAGGGAAGGGAGTTTTGTGGCAACCAATTTGCATGCAGCAATGTCACACTACGATCTGTGAAGTAAATGACCCATTTTATGTGGAGCATTGTTGACCAGGACTTCTAGGAGGGAGAACCTCCCTTCCTTTTCCAGAACGTGTCAAGGGTTCTTGGTTTCCTGGCCAATTGTCCTCTAGGATAACTAGTCCTTTACCTCTTGAATATCTGTGGGACCTTTTTGACACAAATTGCTGCTGTGTTTGCCTACGAAAGAGTCATCACATGGTGAACCGTAATTGCCTCTGAGGCACCTGATGTTTCAATGTGATCATAGATTTATCTTGTATAAAATGGCAAAATCCTAAGATTATAAATAATAATAATCCTTGCATTTGATATAGCGCTTTTCAAGTCTTCTCGACGTCTCAAAGCGCTTCACAGAATAGACTGTAAAGTGAATTGACTGTATATTTGTGGGCGAAATGCAGCAGCCAATTGCACACAGTAGTGTCCCACAAACAGTCGTGGATTGAAAATGACCAATTTATTATTGTTTTGGAGGGATTATTATTAGGCGTGTGGAGTAAGGAAACTTGCCCAAGGTTTCGCCCTCTGCCTGGAATTGAACCCAGGTGTCTCGCTTGCAAGGGGAGTGCTCTAATCACTGAGCTACAGGACTCCACGAGTCCTACCTGCTGATCTTTCTGTTAGGTCTATTTGAAATGTTTCACCCTGTTATTGAAAATGTGTACCTTTTTTTGAGTGTCATAGTAATAATAATCCTTGCATTTGATAGTGTTGAATGCAGTTCCTAGCAGACACGGACCCATAACGCAACAAAAGCCCATAGTTTAGTACAAACTGGCAGCTTAATGCAAACTGTCATCAAGATGCCTGATGCATTTACTGGAAAAAGTTACACTTTTTTTCAGTAGAGGTTGAGGGTAAGGCATACTGGTGAAGCAAAACAGAAAGTTCTCTGCATCTGGCCCATGCTAAACCTGACTTGATAGTGTTTGATGCTGATACTGGGTGATGAGTGAGGGAAAGTGTACTATTTCCTGCGTTGACATCGCTGTTTGAATATAATAATGTATTCAAATTCACCAGGACTATTTACCATGGCAGATAGAGTATGGGACTTCTTTCCGATGTGAAGGGCATAAGTTACAATTACAAGTGTAATTTGTTGTTGTTTTGACCAATGTCATTTTATTTTCATGATCTTAGAGCTATAATGAAGCGCAGTGAATTTAGTATTACTGCAAACGTGGGGGAAAATCTACACATTTCTTTTAAGATTTATTTGCAGGAATGTATAACGTTATGAACCTAAAGATTATAAATAACAATAATTTCTTGTCATTTTAAATGCAATGATTGTGTTGTATTACATCTTAGTGTTGCTTTGAAGCCACCCTTGTTTATTAATAAGCTAATACCTGTACACTGAAGTCAAGTATCTCAAGATTTTTAAAACATCATTTTCTGCCTCTTTCATTTGTCTTCTTTTGGACATCCAGGCAGGAAGACTGAGTACAATTGCCTTGTTCTCACCTGGTTGCTGAATGAATGCCAAAACCTGTTGCATGCTTTCAGCTCAAGGTCGGATTATGGGGGGGTGCTCCAGGAAACCTTTACTGTAATGAATGAGCTATATCAGAAGGTATCTGAGATGAAGGTAATTTAATTTTTTTTTGTTAAACGTTCAGTTGTGTGGTTAAGTACACCTCTTCCATAATGTCTTGGAATTAAATTAATATCATGAGTATAAGTACCAACATTAGCTAAAATATTGGAGTATTGTCTTCTTAAATGCTGCAACACTAATCCATACCTGCTCATCAATTATCTCCCTTGTGTTTCTTTTTCTATTACTAAGGATGGAAGTAAAATAGATCAAAATGCAAAATCTTCAAAAAAGCCACAAGAATCACATGAAATGCAGGAAAAAGTAAATGAGCCTCCTTTGAACTCTGATCCAGGGAGGAACGCAACCTTGGTGCCTTTAAACTCTAACCATGCATACGGGCAGGAGATGGAGAATTCACGAAGCTTTATGAGAAGTCGAGAAATCTGGGCCACCTTTGAGAACATTTGGACTATAATAAGTCAATACAGGTAGGTGTGAATATGCATCCTCTCATACTAAATCAGCTTACTATTGTAGCAAAACCTTGATAGAGTAAAACTAACCTGGCCCAGGCCTCTCCGATCTCATCTCACTTTCCCTATCAATGGGTGAAGAATGCAGGGCTTGATGAATTCTTCTTTTTTTTCGGTCAGCTGCAAGTCTGACACGTGCAGAAACCCATCACCGTGCTTAAGAGTATCCAAACAAACTGAGAATTCCATGCATCCCCCCCACACATGGAAGATAGATTATTGGAATGGAATGTGCGCTCTCCCTGGAGATTCTTCAAATAAAATCTAAATGGACAGTTTATTTTCCTTTCACACATGATCACAGTGATCGTTGTTATTCTATTCCCACCCCCAACTCGGTTTCAATTTAGACTCCTTTCTTTTCTGAAGCCACTAATGGATACAATTCCACAGCCCTTGTGCCTTCTGATATCTTGTTAATGTAGCCATTTCTCATGTGTGAGCTTAGTGAGGAATACAACCATTAAGGAAGACTTGAGCTGAATTAGATTTTATCATTGGCTGCACTTTTCCAACATGAGATACTAGATACCAGTGAGAAATGAAAACTGAATTTTTAGTTTATTTTCTCTAGTCTAGAGACAGTACTGGCCTGAGAGACCAGATAAATCATCGCAGGTTGGTGATTTAGATACAAGACTTTGCTATTTGAATTGACAAATAGAAGGTTCAATAATGTTTAGGTCTTGCCTAATTGTACTTGAAGAAACTTTGAGTTTTTTTTCTTTTTTTTTCCAGCTCTATAATTTTTGCAACCTTTAGCCTCCCTCACAACCCTACGGCCTCTTTAATGAACTCCAAGCTGCCGCTTCCTCAGGAAGCGTTCATGTGCCTGCAGAGGTTGATGCCTGCTGTAAAAGAACTCCTGGCAGCAATTCAAAGGTGAGCATCAAATAGTCCCAATAGGAATATCCAAAACTATCAATAGTCTTTTCATTTAATACTATTTGTGGAGTACTGTAGTGTAGTGGTTAAGTGAGAAGACTCAAGTTCGATTCCCGGGCAGGGCAAAATCTTAGGCAAGTCATGCCTCCGTTTCCCTAGCAGTAAATAGAAACCAGGTTGTTAGTCGATTGGTGGATCACTTTCTGGGGGTGATAATCCCTCCCAAAATAAAATTGGTCACTTAATCCATGACTGTTTGTGGGACCCTGCTGTGAGCAATTAGCTGCCACTTTTTGCCCACAAAAATACACAGTCAATCCACTTTACAATATACATTATTCTGTGAAGCGCTTTGAGATGTCTCAACCGCTATGATAAGGTGCTATATCAAATACAAAGACTATTATTATTTGTTTACTAGTGCCAGGCAAAGGTTGTCCTACCAGCAATTTACTGTTTATTATTTGACTGTGAATACATTTTATATAACTGCTCTGCTTTCCAATGGTGAGACTAAGAATCACACAAATAGGCTTACTGAACCTTTGGGAAGCAATTGCACCTGGATCTCAATTTACTCCATATAATGTTTCAGAGCGTCCACAAATTAGTAAATTGTTGACTTCAGTCTCAACACGGAAGTGTTTTTTTCCTGTTCTTGAAAGAACTGGCAGAAAACCAGCCTCACAATTCATGCTGCATTTAAGAATATGCCAAATTTTGACTGCTCTAAACTGCTACATAAATAGAGTAAATCTAGATCCAGGTGGAAAAAAGGGAGTTTCTCCTGGCCAACAAATCCTCCAAGTAAAATTGGTCACTCACTCCATGGCTGTTTGTGGGACATTGCTGTGCGCAAACTGGCTGTATCATTTTGCCTAGAAAATATAGTCAATCCAATTTACAGTATATCATGTGAAGCGCTTTGAGATGTCTCGACAACATAAGGTACTATGTCAAATGCAAGGTTTATTATTATCATTTCACCCCATTTGTGTAGGTTCATGTCATCGCACTGTAGATGATTTAATAAACCAAATCTTATGGGGGGTGGGCATTGATGTGCTTGTGAACATAAATTGATAAAATTACTCTACCTGGTAGGTTTCCTAGGATCTCCAGAATTTCTATTTTTGTTACATTTTCAATATTTCCGTTTGACACATGCAGCAGTAACATACCAGCCAGGATTGGAAGAAATATTTTTAAAGTTACTCATTGCTTAAGGACTCTGCATTATCCGAACTTACCAAAATTTAATTGCTCTGAGACACTACCCTGTGCGTAGGGTATTATATAAATGCAAGTTTAGTTATTGTTGTTTGCATTAACCAATCACTTTCAAGGACTGTTACTGAAAGCATGTTTGGTACAGATGAGAAGGTAGTTGGAGGAGTTTTGAGCATGGAATTTGTCAATGCAAGTTATCCGTGAAGGATTGCGCTGAATAAGCCGGAAAGTAATGTGCCCATAGTTATTTCCAGGGTGGAATTTTCCATGGTGATGCAAATAAAGTACACTGGTATCAGCTGACTAACTGCAATGTTTTTCAGCACGTCCTGTGCTAGTAAATGATAACACGGTGTTTGTTTGCAGAGTACAAGGATTGAACAGCAATTAGAAACTGCATTAGACTGATCCAAATCAAACAGTATTTATTGTGAGAGTAACTTCTGAATGTTTCTCCCTGCTGACAGCGAATGGCTGGTGTAATTGCAAGGCAGTTTTTCTCATCAACGGATCAAACAAAAAGGCTGCTGCCAGCTCAACTGCACCAAGTCCTCCTTATACCAATGCCCTGTGGTCACTCTGCGATTTGCCTCCAAAATGCAGTCAATCCACTTTACAATATATTCTGTGAAGTGCTTTGAGTTGTCTCAATGACGTGATAAGGGCGCTAGATTAAATGCAAGGATTATTATACTTTCAGTTGCAAGTTCTTCATATCATTGAATTATTTAATTAATGTTATTTAAAACATTTTATTTAATTAATAAGACAGGCTGGCTGATTGGCAGGATTTGGAGGGGCAGAGCAGTCACTGGGATTGGGGATTCTTCTCACTCAGCTCCTGTTAATCCTACCAAGAGCCAACAGGGAGCATTGTCCAAGCAGCAGGAAGCTTGCTGGTCAGTGCTCTCAATGACAAACTATGTAATTTTAGTTGGTTAAATCCATCACAGAATCCTGAATTCCTCCAGCTCCATTTTCCTTTGGTTAGTGAACCATTGGGATTTTACCTGGCAACAGTACAACTTGCACTTTGGGTGAGTTGCTATGGCTTTCAGTTTATCAGTGTTGGACAGCAAATTTCTCTCGTGCAAACTAGATGTAATGAGAAAAGAAAAAAATAGTATTTATATAGCATTTAATTACGTCAAACCTTCTTAAAATATTTCACAGTCAATTATTGTTGATTGGAGTGACTTTTGTGGCACTACATCAATCTCTTTGCTATTTCAAGTTTTTTTAAAAAGTCCACTAAATCCTGCTTAACATTAAAACTAGTGATAATGAAGTACTGTCTGAACTTTAATTTTTGTAGTTTATGTTGATTTTTTTCCTTCAATTTCGACCCATATATTGATAATACCATGAATTGTGTACATCTAAAGGACAATAAGTCTAGTTTAGTGGCAAGGGTTCCAAAATATGATTTGGTTGTGACAAAGAAGGAATTTTTTAATTCATTGCTTACATTAACCCTGTTAATGTAGCCGTTTCTCATGTCCTGTAACTTAATGGTTAGAGCATTCACCTCTCAAGTGAGAGGACCTGGGGTTCGATTCCTGGCAGGGTGAAATGTTGGGCAAGTTTCCTTACTCCACATGCCTCGGTTTACCAGCAGTAAGTAGGAACCCAGTTATTAATCGATTGGCAGATCGCTTTTCAGGGGGTAATAATTCCTTCAAAATAAATAAAAATCATTTGGTCACTATCCATGACTGTTTGTGGGACGCTGCTGTGCACAATTGGCTGCCGCTTTTCTCCCACAAAATATACAGCCAATTCACTTTACAGTATAATCTGTGAAACGCGTTGAGATGTCTCGAAGTCGTGATAAGGCGCTATGTCAAATAGAAGGATTATTATGCAAGCTCTTCACTCAAAGAAAACTGATCTAAAAAAGATTTCTATGGCTAATGTTTTCGAACAGTACTTTGATCCTGGATTCAAAGGATTTTACTTTCAACTTTGGCTTGATGAATGTGGGATCTAACATCAGCTGAAAATTCACTTCTTTAATTACCCCTACCCCTACACCCTTGTTAAAATGGTGTTCGTATGCACACGCCGAGGGTGGAATATTAACTATGTTGTGCATTAGTTTGTGATCCAAGTTCAATATTTCTCTTTCATATTTTTCATTTTGTAACTCAAGACTTCCTGTGGTTCATTCAGACTAGTTAATTTCTTTCTGAACTGCTTTAGAATAAGGGACTTTCAAATTCGTAATTGCAAGTTAAAAGACTAGTTGTTAAAATTGAATGTAATTCACTCATCTATGAGTTTCTTTGGATGTAAGAGTCACAGAAAGAAGGTAGCCACCTCATCATTGAGGCTAAATCGACTGCTGCCCCACCCCCGACGCAAATCAAGCTGCTCCTTTGGTGTCCCCCTTCCACGTTCGCCAGCAACACACGCCATTGCATGAATCCAGGATCATATTTTACTTGGACAAGTTTGGCTTCCCATGGCTGTTTTATTATTGCTTTGCCACTGTATATTTTAGAAAGGAATTTGTTTTGCCTCTCAGTCATAGTATGTAAATGTAATAAACATAGCTGCCAGGTTTTACCATTACCATTACCTTGCAACCCCTACATGTATATTTTATCAAGTTATTTCTTATCTTTATTATATGTTTATACATATATTTAGTTATTTGCTATATCAAATGCAAGTATTATTATATCATCTTTTGCCCAGAAATACAGTCAATTCACTTTACAGTATATTCTGTGAAGCACTTTGAGATGTCTCGAAGACGTGATACGACGCTATATCAAATGCAAGGATTATTACTGTCTTTAATATACACATGTAATAAGGTTCAATAGTATCTAATGCACTTACTGGCCCCGAGACTGAGTTGTATGATTACGTGCATAAGTACCTCTGAGTCAGATTCATTTTCTGTCCAGATTCATGTTTTAATCTAACATGAGTACTAGCGCACTTCAAAAAGCAGCTGCTTACTGACATTTTCCCAGCGCATTCTGCCTCTCCTGTACTTGGTTCCCATCTAGCTCTACGCAATATTTTCCCCAAAGTCTGGGAGGGACAACTGCTGTGTAAGGAGAACTGGCCAGCAGAGGGAGACAACAAGAACCTTTGCTGTAGCTAGTAGAATTGGCTTATGAACCCCCTACTCAGTTCACTCATAAACTTTAAGTAGCTTGAAGAACGAGAGGACAAGACAGTGCCTTAGGTAACTCTATGCTGAAGTGTATTTTTCTTTTACAAAAAAAGTTGGGGCTAAGTTTTACGTTCTTTAGAGATGCTGTATTGAATACAATATCAACCTACCAGATAGAGTTCTGAGATGGTAGGAAAAGTTGCATTTTGTGCAAAAGGAAATTTGGGGTAGAATGTTAAGATGACAAGAGAGAATAAAGATGAATATGAGCCAGAGAAAGAATAATGAAAGAAAAGGGAAGGGATTTTATTGAATGCCTCATTTGACACATTAACTGGCTGGACCACATTCTTTCAGAGAGAGGAGGATTTCGGAGCAGGCATTGGGTGGAGTGGAAACAAAACCAAGAAAGAGTCGATAGTTTTTTAAAAAACTGAGTGTATTCAGTAGAAACTATCTTGAAAAATGTCCTGCGATATTGGAGACCTCTGCAAATGTGCTTTCCATTCAGGCCATGTCCATTATGTGTGTTTCCATAGAAAATGACTGCTACTTTCTGACAATAGTCTCTTTCTTGAGCTTTTCTTCTAAGGCCTCAGAACAGAAACCTGAAGAAGCAAAAAAAAACCTTAGCAGT